TGTTGTGAAATTTCTGATAGTTGGATAATAAACCGTTTTATTGTAATTTGTCTTTTTAAATTATTTTGAGTCGATATTAAAATTTGGAAAAGGGGGATTCCTAGATCGGTAAAATAGGCGAATTTCCTCCTACGACTTCGGTTGTTGTTCGGGATACAGTTAAGGTTTTAACAAAGTTCGAGCGAATACATAATTAGCAAAAAAAAAGTTGAAATAAAGTGATTAAACAAAAATTATTACAAATATCATAAATAACAGTTTACAAATGCATATATAGAGATATTTTTGAAATAGGGGGAAATGGTCTTCACAATTTGAAATCGATCGAACACACTGTCTCGATACACTCGTATAAACGCGCGCCATCTATCGTGGGTTAAATGTACTATGCCAGAAACCTTCGCGTATATTAAAAACTTTATTCGCGAGTGTATTAAAAACTTTCCTAAGTTTTATGGCAATCATACTATGCCACAAACCTGCGCGAGAATATATTAAACAACTTCCCAAAGTTTCATGGCAATCGGATAAACGATGTGGTAAGGCATGAAGGACATAAGGCAGACACACAGACACACATTCATTTTTATATATATAGATTATTATTATATTCAAATATTAATAAATTGAAATGATGTTGTCACTATACATATATTAATATATCTTTTAATCAAATTATCTGTAAGTATTTATGATAAAAATAAATCCTAGCTCAAATGGAAATAATCACAAAAATTATTGGATAATTTAAATTCACATAGTTTAGAAGAGGTCTGCCATAGAGTTTAGATAAAATGTATTCTGACTGATACATAAATTTTAAATTTGAATGCAACCTTAAGCCAGTATTCCTACAAATATTTGTAAATTTATTAAATCATCATTAATATTAATAATAGATACTAATATGTCTATTTATCAACTAAATTCAATAATCATTCTTAATACACTTATTAGCTAAAATTAATTTTAAAAAACTGATTTTGTAATTAAATATTCCAGCAATTATAAATACATGACATAACCATAATCAGATAATTCATTATTGTTATTATTGCAAATGATAAAGTGCTGTAACTCTATGAATGTTCTGGGGGATGATCGGGCAGATCATTTTCCTATTCAGTTGGAATTAATAAAATATCAAAAAATAAGAAATAAGTTATATAATTGTGAACAAAGTCACCTTATTAATCTGGAATTAAGACCATCCTATAATAAATGAAAATTGTCAAAAGAGTTTGATCAAATGATCGGGGAGATGTTAACCTTGGAAAAAGAAAATGATCCAATAGAAAATTATTTGAATATTACAACTAAATTAGAGGAATACAGGTACAAGAATTGTATACGACAGAATGAAAAAAATATTCAAATGCGAATTGTATAATAATACATGTTATAGTTACAAAATTAAAAAACAAAAGAGTTTACAAGTCTTCAGACAAACAAATACCAGCAAAGCACTAATGAATTATCTAAAATATAAGAAAATGTATAATAATTTAATTAAAGCCAAAAATAAATTATATTTTTCAAATATCAGTAAGAAATTATCAGAAGCGAAAGACTCGAGAGTTTTCTGGAGGATAATTAACAGTTTTCGCAAAAGAAAGTCAGGTCTGGACATACAGGCTAGAGTAGGATATAATGATTGGCTTAAATACTACAATAAACTCTCAGAAAACTACCAAAAAATTTTTGTCAAAAATATATGGGAACTAAGATAAGACCAGAAATTCATCGAGACGAGATAATTAAGACAGAAGAACTTCAGGATTGTATTAAGAAACTTAAAGATAAATCAACACCGGATCCAGACACAATACCTAATTCACTCATTAAAATGCTGCCACTAGAAATCATTCGATATTTAACCAGACAATTCAATCAATTCTACAGTTATAGTATAATACTGGACAAATGGAACGAAATCATTTTTACCATGATATTTAAACAAGGGAACAAACAGGAACCAATCAATTACAGGCCAATAGCTCTTTTATCTTGTCTATGGAAAGTATTCACTGCAGTATTAGCTAGTAAATTTAATCATTAGACAGCTGCTAATAATTATAGAAATGATACGCAATTTGCATTTGTAGAAGGAGGTGGTACTCAGACAGCTCTCTTTGTGTTGTTGTTACTAATTCAAATATAGTTGCTTAAAAAAAGACAAAGTGTTTGCTCTTTTTTTGGATCTTGAAAAAGCATATGATTAGTATTACAGATCTACAGAGTAAAATGAAGAGAATGTGGAGCAAATGAACTTACGATAAAAACGATAGTGTTGCTGTTTGGAAAATATAAGACAATCATTAAACAAGATACAAATATCTGGACACTGTTTATTACCTACAGAGGACTATTACAAGGAGATCCATTGTCCCCATATCTTTTCAATTTTTATTTATTTGACCTAAATAATTGTTTTAAAACAGACAAAGATGGTATTGAAATCGAAAATCAGAAAATACATACTATATCATATGCCAATGACATTGTGCTGGTAGCTCCTATGGCAGCTGTGCTCCGTAGAAAGATTCAACAAATTTGTGAGTACTTAGAAAAGTTAAGAGTTAAAATAAATCCAAAAAAATCAATAATAATGATATTCAGAAATGGTAGTAATGTATCCAAAAAGCACATGTCCTTTTTTATTAATAAAGAAGAAGTGAAGATAGTTAAGGAAATAAAATTTTTAGGAATAACATTTACACCAAACCTTTCGTTTGAGAAACATTATAAAAATTCACTAAATAAAGCAAAAATTGCAATAAATAACTTAATTGGTCTATTCTGTAAGGCAAAACTAAAGAACTTAGGAACACACTTTCAACTTTTTAATTCGCTTGTGATGAATTCAATGTGCTATGCGGCCCCAGTTTGGAGTATGGATAGATTTAATGACTTTGAAAAAATACAGAATATATTTATATGCAAGATATTCCAGTTAGAATTTAATATCCCGGGCAGCGCTTTAAGATTAGAAACAAATAGATTTAGACTAAATACTATATTAATAAAAAGATATTTAATGTTTCTTCAAAAAATTATTAAGGCAGAAGACATAACAAAATTACTGTTTTTACTATATCACAAATCAAGGGAAACGGACTTAAGACGAAGTTGGATAATACAGCTATCGAAAATAGTAAATAAATATGGATTCTCTATTAAATTGTTTTTGGATCGTACACATAATATGGAGCAGTATAGTAAAGAAATAATATACAGAGCTATGGAGCTCTCCATTGTTCAAGACATTGAAGATATACGAAAACGGGAAAATACAAGCTGGTATGCAAGAATTTTAAATTACCCAGTAAATAATAACTATATATTGACAAATCTAGCTTTTAACATCAAAAAGTTTTTTATACAGATTAGGTTAAATAAAAATGGAATAATTATAAATGATAAATATATAGACTATACCCAATCTAAATGTCCAAATTGTACCAAAATTTTATCTAGAGTTCATATTATATGTGAATGCTATAATGAAAAGGATAAACTACAAAGGCTCCAGATGGGACCAGTGGCTAACTGTAATAATAAGATGGAAATGTATAAGACTTTTGACAGAGCTAATACTAACACAATTTATATGTTATATAACTATGTTAAACAATTTATTAAATGATAATTGTGACAAAATATTAATGTAATTCTATAGATCTGTAAATAGAATATATCAGTGTTGTTAAGACGTGATTATGTAAGATGTTAATATGCGTTTTTAAAATCAAACACTCTTATAACAGGGAAAGCCTTTTACGCCAAATTATTATTTTATTATTGCAAATGTATAAAAATAATTTTTTTAAAGTTACAATATTACAAATTCAAAATATATTGTGTTTTGATTATACCCAGTATTACTATAGTAGATCATCGTTTATCCGAATCAATTGGAAACTGGGGTTGTTTGGATAACCGGTTATGTACGAAAAAATATATTAACCTATCCCATGTTGAAATTTTTCTCTGTTGCGTGTCGCTTCGCATTGAATTTTCGTCGATGTTAAGCCTAATGAAAACTTTTTAAAATAATCATCATGGCTATTGTATTGTCAAAAATTACTTTTTATTTTGTACAAATAAAATAAATATATTGAAAAATATAGAAACCAAAAAAATATATAAATATACCATCATATATGTACATAGTTGATCTAGTATCAAAAATGTTCGATTCAGCACGATACACAGGCCTCAGAAAAACACACAAAAGTGCCAGTGCTGCCAGCTAAAACACACACACAACAAAAAAAATGTTGGAGTAGCCCAAGATATAGCCAAAGATTGCAGCACCACAACAGTAGTGAAAATTTAAATTTGCCAACTGGAATGCTTTCAGATAACCGACGTTTTGGATAACCGACTTTCGGATAAACAATGCTCTACTGTATTATAAATTTGAAATAAAAAAATTGAGAAAAAACATTCACCCAAAATTTTGCCCTTAACAATAGATTTTTCCAATAATTCAAAATTTCTCACACTATTTCTTTTCCAATATGTTGAAAAGCAGCTTCCACAAATTCTCTGACACTGTGAGATTCTCCAGTTGCAATAACAAAGTCGTCAGGTTCCTCTTGTTGTAGCATCAACCACATTGCCTATTAAACATAATAAATTAAAAATTAAAAGTAGATCTAATATATTCAATGATTCACTTAAGATATGAATCAAACTTACTTCAACATAGTCCCTAGCATGACCCCAATCTCGTCGAGAATCTAAGTTTCCTAATTCAAAGTATTCTTGTTCTCCAAGATAAATTTTAGCCACTGATCGAGTTATTTTACGAGTTACAAATGTTTCACCTAGGAAAAAACATTAAAATATTATTATTTTCAATTTACTCTTCATAAATGCAGATTCATTATATTCAAAATAATAGATTTTAATATGTTAATATTAATATTTTATTTGAAATTAATAAAAATAAAATTTTAATTTCAAATCAAATACATTTTAAAAGTATCATATACAGATATATAATGTTTTTCAGAGTTACAAAAAGACACTGCTAGAGAAGTACCAAACTCATCTCAGTGTGGTTTCAGGTGAGTTCAGTACTTCTCTTGCAGTGACTGTTTGTAAGTCTGAATGGGGTAGGAACTCAGTTTTTTTAACACTTACAAATGTTCAATATGTGTATCTCAGGTGACACAGCATACATCGATATGATAACCCAGTTCTTGTCCATCTTTTGTACTATGGGCCCATTGATAGTGGACATTGCTGTGCATACTCTTTTAGCTTGGCAATATCACATGACAATAGTGGGATGAATACATTATCTTTTATATAACCCCACAAAAAGATAATGTGCTCATCCTACTGTTGCTGCATGATATCACTGAGTTAAAAAAGTGTATCATCACAGCAGTGTCCACTATTGACGAGCCTATGTTACAAAAGCTGGGCAAGAACTGGATTATGTATGCCATCTCACCCATGCAGTACATATTGAACATTTGTAGATGTTAAAAAAAAATAGTTCCTGCCCCATCCACTGTTGGTTTCATTGAAGTGAGTTCAGTACCTCTCTCACAATGACTTTTTGTAATTCTGAAAAATATTATGAAATGTTCTATATTTAGCAAATAAGTGATATAATGTAGCACCTCTTATAGGCAATTGCTATTAAATAATCACTCCTCTTCATGAGTGTATTAGGAATGCATTCAAATAGCTGTAACTCAATATATTTTACATTCACATCAATAACCACTTCTTATATAATTAATAACCAGTCTTTGAAGAATCTTCTCAATGGAAGTACTTGCATTCAAGAATTAAGATTAATTAATTTCATTCTATTTGTTGATTCTTAGAAGTCAAGATTTCATTCTTAAAGTCGTTTATAAAGAAAGTTTGGTCAAATAAACTAGAATGGCAATTTATAAATTACCATGGCTGCTTACAATAGCTATTATATTAAAGCATTTTTTCAATAAATTCATTTAATGGCATTCATATATAAACTCATATAATAAGAAAATATTTCAAACAAAATATATTTCAAATAGTGAATGATCAAAATTTGCTCTGATCATCTTTCTTTTCATTCATAACTTCTATTCATCTTAACCATTGTTTTGCTAGACAGTTTCTTATTGTAGATTGTTTCAGACAATCATAATTATTAGCCAATATAATAATAAATTTGCAACTCATAGCAGATAAGATTAATTTGCAAAATATTGTATCAATTATTATAAAAGAAAATGAATTTCAAAAATCTTGAAACATTTCTTTAATGATAAGCATAAATTTTGCTAAAGGGAGCTAATCACACAGGAAGCACATCAGTAATTGACTATGCCAACTTTATTATACAAAGAAATACATTTCAGACTTACTTCTCCTCTTCAGCCCTTTATTACAGATCTACTTAATTACACAATAATTACTATAAAATTCTAATATACCATACTGTATATATAATACATTCTAAAAAATTTAAACACAGTATATTACTTTTGACTGTTTTTTAAAATATATTAGTGACCATTGATAAATAAACTTTGTATTGATAAACTAATAAATAAAACTAAAATTAAATTAACAGAAGGTTATAATAAAATATGATTTTAAAAAATTAAAGAACAAAAAGGGAGTGTATACATGTATAAAAGTAAATGTAAAATAATCTAAAAAGTTAATTAAAAAAAAGAAAACCTTTTATAATAAATGTAAGAGAGCTTCATTAACCATTGTAAAACACTTAAAATCTCACTGTACCTTCCTCAACCTAGTTGATATTTACACAATACAGGATACAGTGTATTATAAAACATGGGAAGTGAAAGGAGGTTGGAAGGGATCCACAATGAGCTAGTTTAATTATTTAATAATGAATGTCAGATCTTACTGATGACTATTCCTGTGTTAAAATTCATTCTGTTTTCTTTAATTTCAATGATTTCTAAATGCTCATAAAATGTTCTTTTAATAATAAAATTCTTAAAAAAGAAAAAGAATCATATTCAGTGAGACCTTGAAACTCTCTTGATCACAATGTAAGATAAGTGTAGAGTTGATGAACCAATAAATAAAATTACACCAATACAAAGTTTATTCATCCAGTGGTCACTAATATATTTTAAAAACAGTCAAAGGTAATTTACTGTATTTACATTTTTTAAAGAGTGTATTATGTATTCAGTATGGTCTATTGAATTATATAGCAATTATTGTTTAATTAAGTAGATCTGTAATAAAGGACCAAGGAGAAGAAGTATGCCTGAAATGAATTTCCTTGTATAATAAAGTTGGCATAGTCAATTACTGATTAGTCTCTTCAGTAAAATTTATGCTTATCACCAAAGAATCTATTAGGAGAATGAGTAACAATTAAACAACCTTAAAACATTTGTTTACTCTAGCAATACCTTCAGGTAACAATTTCTATTGTTTCATCTATCATAGCAACATTACACTACTAAAAAGTGATGTTCGAGTTCAAAAGCATTCAAGAATGTAAAACAGAGAAGATGAATTTCAGAATATTTTTTTCATTTATGGAGTTTAAATAATCATAATTATGTTTAGATTTTAAGGAAACTTTTTCAATTTTTCCAGAGTTTGAAAGATCAATTCAAAAGCATTTCATTTATAATTTAGATTCTTAAAAAAGTTCTTATGTTTATTATTATTATTTAATTAAAAGAAGAGTCACTTGAAATGCAATTGGTTAAAATATCACTGGCCCATGCATAAGAACATGTGGATGACACACAATGGCAGTGCATATAACATCATTACAGAAAAAAAAATTCAACTTTTATTGTGAGTTTAAAAATATACTTTAAAATACAGGGTGATCATAATAAAAGTATTTCTATTCAGAGACATCTACAGATTTTCTGGGCATAATTAAACCAAACACAGTAATAATACTGTCCAGCATATGAGGTAGAGATCCTTGTGGAAAAAAAATTACAGTAGAGCGTCATTTATCTGAATCAATTGGGGACTGGGGTTGTTCGGATAACTTATTTTTCGGATAACCGATTATGTATGAAAAAATATATTAACCTATCCCATGTTGAAATTTTTCTCCGTTGCGTGTCGCTTCGCATTGAATTTTCGTCGATGTTAAGCCTAACATAAACTTTTTAAAATAATAATCGTGGCTATTGTATCATTAAAAATTATTTCTTTATTTTGTACAAACAAAATAAATATATTGAAAAATATAAAAACCAAAAATATATACTTTAGAAGGTGATCTAGTATCAAAAATGTTCGATTCAGCACTACACAGTCCTCAGAAAAACACCACACAAAAATGCCAGTGCTGCCAACTAAAACACACACACCAACAAAAAAAATATTGGAGTAGCCCAAGATATAGCCAAAGATTGCAGCGCCACAGCACTAGCAAAAATTTAAATTTGCCAACTGGAATTCTTTCAGATAACCGACATTTCGGATAAACGACGCTCTACTGTATAAATTTTTTACAAAAAAGCTTTATGTTGTTTTAAGAAAGTATTCTTTTAATTAAATTTCTATTTTTCAAAGCATATTTTTGCTTTTTGATTACATAAAAATACCATTATATATTTGCCTAAACATGATAATTGATATTGTAAATATCTTATGTTTCACTTTAGCAAACTGTAATTAACTCAAAAATAGTTAATTAAAATAAACTACATGTCATAATATCCATTTATGTCCTTTCATAAAAACAGTTATATAGTAAGTCTTCTAATTCTAATTTAATTAAAAAAACTGATGAAATATAAAACAATAGCAAATAAAACTTCAAAATGTATTAAATACCTCTTCTTGGACTTTCATGATTAAATAAGATTCCATTCACAGCAAACAAATTATATGCTTCTCTATAGTTTATCACAATCCAAAAACCATATAATTTGGCTACACCTAAAAAATAATACATTATACTACTTTAAATATTAAGAAAATTCTCATATTATTATTCTATTACAAGTTAAAATATAATAATTGTATTACAGAAAATTGTAAGTTTCGTATTAAGATTTATTTATTTTATGCTTCTTCATTTCAAATCATTGTTTTATGGTGTTTAGTTTGATGCAACACAATGCATATGTATAATTATACATTCATAAAAATATAAGAAATACATTAAATATTTGCTGAAGTTTGTTCATTTATGTTAGTTATAAGTTTTCGTATATATAAATTATAAACTCAGACAGTTAAAAACAAACTATAATATTTTAAATATAAAATATGCCAATTTTAAAAAGCGATTTTTGGATTATTTTTTCATTATATTATAGATAATTACAATTGGAAAATCTAAGAACTTTCTAAATTATAATGCTTGTTTTAGTTAAAATTTAAACTTATGAAATAACTTCAATTTTTATCTCCAATTAATTGATTCTGATTATTTTAAAAATATGTTTCTATGCAACATTTCTTTTACAAAGCATTGATAATTTTTTAATAACAACTATGTAAAACAAACTATTCTGTTTAACAGAATTGTTTAAGCTTTAAAATAAAAAGCAAAGTGCAATTTGCTAAATTTGCTGTTTTGGTTTTACATCCCATTGAAATCAAAAACTAATTTTGAATTGATTTTGTAACATGCAATTAATAATGAAAATTTTGGTTTGATTATATATATATATATATGTTACTGTGAATGGCCGAAATCTGGCGAATGTCAACATTCTCCGGTGAACGTCAACATTCACACAGTCGTTTCGTGTATGTCCGAAATATTTGCTAAATATCGTTATTTCTCACTTACACCGGCAAATGTCGACATTCAGAATGCGCTGATGGTGAATGTTGAATAAAAATATTTTTATTACGTTAAGACAAAAATGCAACTTTTTAATATGTAAAATAGGAGAAAGCTTAAGTAATAGTACATGTAAATAAACTGTTGAACCTAAAATGAACAGTACATTCTTAATCATTAAAGAAAACAATACAATAATAAACTTACACATAAATTATGTGATTAACGTTATATAATGTTATTTATTTCAACAACTTAACTTGTTATGGCACTTTGAATTGCACAAGAGTCTTTTTCTTTTACAACTATACTTATTCGTGGAACACTTCTTTTGGCAATGACAGCATGTATAGCCTTGCCCTCCACCTTTCGAATTAGCTGCAGCTGCTTCTCTCAGCGATATTTCTTGAGAAGAAATCTTACCTATGGAAAATTTTCTTTACAAATTACGAACTGATTACGGGTATAAAGCTGCTTGAGGGTATCATTTTTGTTTGCTAATTTATAAAAGTCAGAGTCTTCTATTCTAACAACAACTGCCAACACATTTCGGGCATCTGTACGGCCACGGTCAACATCAGGGACTTGTATTCGTATGGTATCACCAATTTGAGCAGAAGGAAACGGCAAAGAATTTGGCGACAGACTGTCGCCTCTCCGTCGACATTGGCTTCTCGGGTATCGTTTCGACCTCCACCAAAGCTTATCTGTGCTTGTCGACATACACCAGCGATTGTTCGAATGTATAATAATATAACAAAATATTCGGTCTTTCACCGACGTATTTTGTATGTGTCGACATTCACCGGAGAATATCGACATTCTCTAATTTCGGTCTTTCACAGTAACATATATATAAAATCTTAAATCAAGGAGAAGATTTCAGAAAAAAATTATTTCTATAAATACTGCTTGAAATTAAGAATTTTTATGGCATGAGATTTATCTTTTGAATTTTATGATTATTGTTGTTAACAATCCAATCTAACCCAGCTCCTATTTTAACTAAATATAAAAAACACCTTACCACTGGGGTATTTAAATTTCTTTACTAAATGCTTTTTTTTTTTTTTTTTTTCCAGCTTTATTTATGAGCCCTCATCAGCTAAATTGATTGTGAATTTGTAAAGAAATGTTCGAGGTTATGTTTTCCAAATTTGAACACAATTTACCCGACAATGGCTTATAAATAGAGCCAAAAAATGTTTAGTAAAAAAATTTAAATACCCAGTGGTAAGGTGTTTTTTATATTTAATTATTATTATTGATATCTGTTATTATTTTATTTTATTGTTAATAATACATCTAAAGAAACCAAAATTACTAAGTTTAATTTGACAAAAAAATTCTTACCATAAGGTGAACGAGGATAAAATGGCGTAGTTTCTTTCTGTGGAACTTCTTGTACTTTCCCAAATAATTCACTTGTAGAAGCTTGATAAAATTTTACACTCTTTTCTAAGTTACAAGTTCTTATAGCATCTAAGAGACGTAATGTTCCTAAGGCATCAACATTTGCAGTGTATTCACTAAGATCAAAGGATACCTTTAGAATTAAAAAAATAAAATGTTTTTCATTTAAATTCAAAATAAGTTACATTATTCTAATGAAAGAGATTCATAATTAACTCAGTACTTCTAGAAGTAATTATTATATTAGCTTAATTAACAAAATATTAGTTACTAATCAATTTAAACTTATTTACTTTATTTAGCGTAATCTTATTCAGACTAGTTATTTAATAAAGCATATTTTATTAAAGAATTATAAGAGAAATAGTACAGTAGCTAACTGTAATAACTAATCATCATTATAAGTTTATCATTATTATTAGCTTACCATTAGATACTGNAGTAGCTAACTGTAATAACTAATCATCATTATAAGTTTATCATTATTATTGTTTATTATTTGTGAAATTAAATGGATAAACTAGAAATAAATATAGTAAATTATTAATCATTCTTATTGCTTAAAAGCAATAAATTAACTTATTAATTTCTCACTTTATTGAAAAAAAAAATGCTTCATTTTTGAATTGTAAACTTTATAACATTAATAATCTTTACAATGAATTTCAGCATTAATTTAATATTTACAAAAAAAAATAATAATATAAAACTTGAAGGCATAACATTTTGGGAATTAAAAAAACTCCCAAAATATTATATGCTTGTTATATTACATAAAAGTTAATATTAAATTTATTACATTAACTATGCTTTAAACTGATCTATTTTGATTATCTAAAACTTAAAGGAAAATAATAAATTGAGATTATCAAAGTGTAATAATTTGATTATATTTAGTTAATACAATCGAAATAAAAGAAACAATTTTAAAAAAATTCAAATTATAAATTTTGATAATCATGCAAATGTTTTCAGTCAATTTTTTATATAAATAAATTAATCTATTGCTGCAGTTATCTCCAATTAATATAACTTATAAAATATTTTAAACAATTTTATTTCACATCTATTGTATTTATAAAAAAAAAAAAAACACCATATTTTTATTAGGTTTATAAATAAATAATTCAAATACAGTTGGCTTGCCTTAAAACCATAAAGCAAATTTTGTCTTTGCCCTGATAAACCACCATTGTCACTACATTAATTTTCACACAATAAAGTAAACAAAAATTTTACCAAAATTCATGAAACCAAACTGTAAATTACCTTCACAACCCCAAGAAATCTCTCTATCTATCTATATAATCAAGATGGGTTGATAATAATAATAATAATAGTAAATGCAGAGCCCAAATGGTTAGGAGTTGAAAGTTGAAATTTGGTACACAGTTAGGGTACGTCATGAGAACTCACACTAAGAAGGGATTTTTCGAAATTCCCCCCCATGGGGGAGAGGGAGAGGATTAAGGCTTACCCTGAAGAACTCAGCTTCTATTGTATTATTTTAGATATGGTTTTTTGCATTTTTGACTGCATTTTAGTAGGCTACCACATTTAGTAGGGTACCATGGGGGATGAAAGAAGTGTATTCCTTAACAATGGAAGTGCTAACATGGAAGTGTTAAGAATGGAGGTGTTAAGAGAAAGCGGCATGCAAGATTTTCAAGCACAGATGTGGTTTTTTTGCGAGAAATCAAACATATTTTTAGACCCATGTAAAAATTCTCTAATTAATCTGGAAACAGGTGACCTAATTCTTGCATTCTGTGAAAACGGGTAAGACTGGCTATAATGTAATTATCTTAATCTTCACTATTGTTACTTTTTGCCCAAGCAATGCCGGGCTTATCTGCTAGTTTCCAATAATGGTTGCTTTTTGAGGGGCACTGTCTGACTATTGGTATCAATTTTTTTGCTCTTTGATCCGATTCACTTTTGCTTTATTCTGTAAAAATGTCAGAGTTTCCGTCTCAGAAAAGTTGAGATACATGTACTAATGTAAGCTGATGACACTAATCCTTGTTGATACTCCACAAATGTTACAAAAGAAAATTACAATTCTAGAGAAATTCTGTTGTGACTATAGTGACTATAGATTAACTATAAATGTCTCAAAAACAAAAGTGTTGGTGTTCATGAAGAGTGGTAGACTATCACTCAGAGAGCGGTGGCCTTAATAATCAGCCTCTATACAAGTCATTTCAAATTGCATATACCCAGGAGTATTATTTTCGTCTTCTGGACAGTTTTTAAAGGCTAAAAATTATAGTATACATAAGGCTAAAATGGTACTTGGTTCTATGTGGCCTATTCTTTCAAAAGCTAAAATTAATACTGCTCATATTTATATAAAATTATTTCACTCAATGATTTCATCTGTATTACTTTACTCTGCTCCTGTATAGGCAATTACTTATTATGATAAAATGGAAATTGTTCTTGCTTTATATCTTTGAAGAATTTTTATATTATACCACAAAATTCCAGCTTACATGTTGCAATTGCAGCTTGTGTTTCTAGAATATTGGTTTTAATAATAAAAGCAAAGTTTCTTTTTGGATTAGACTGTTAAAATTACATGATAACAGTTGTGAAGATCATAAGTTTGATTTTATGCAAATTTCAGAAAATTTGTAAGCCTATTTCTCCATTGTAATCATAAAGAAAACATTGCACAGGAAACGGATTGAATGACATCTTTTTCTATCAATAACCGGGAGAGAATTAAACAACCCAGTGTTAGAGGAGGAGAAAGTCAGTTGTTGACTTGTGAATAGAAGGAAGCGTACAAGTCTTGGACCAAATATGGTCATGACAGCTGCATATAAGTGACGTTATAGCATCATCAAATGAGACCCCTGACCTCATACCTGCAGATTCGTTGCTAAACATCCAATCACCTGATGGATTTTCCCAGGCTAAATTGATAAAAGGGAGGTGAAAACTCAAGTAGTGATGGACTACATCGAAAACCATACACAGGCCATAAATCTCCAGCCACCCTATTCCAGCGGACATCTTCAGAATGTCATAGCCAGTTCGACATATCCCAACATGCCATACGCAACAGACTCCTTCCAAGGCTCCCTCCTCACTATTATCATAGAAGATGATGGCTCAAATCACCTTATAAGAAAGGAAGACATCAATCACAGTTCACCCTCCACAAAGACAGAGAACCATATCTCGAGGCCATAAATCTCCAGCCACCCTATTCCAGCGGACATCTTCAGAATGTCATAGCCAGTTCGACATATCCCAACATGCCATACAGATAGAATGTGAACGAAGAGCTTAGATATTTAGTCGTGTTGCCTTAGATGTATATTCCATATTTCTGCATACTCTTAGATTTAGATGTTTATATTAAACTTATATTTTTATTCATTAACCTGACTACCTTTCTCTATCAAACCTTGGACACTTATCGACTTAATCACTGACCTCCCACTCAATAATTTAAGACTGATCAAGGGTTAGGAACCTCTACCCATGGCTAATCTCACACAGTTATATTAAAGTAGCATATAACAAACTCTATAAATTAGGTTCAGAAATGGACAGTTATACATATAATTGGATGATGGCACTGAAAAATCTGTTAGATTGACATGGTTTCTATTTTCTATGGTTGTCTCAAGATCCTCATTTGATTGAAAGTTATCAAACATTAATTATAAAAGTGCATCATGAACAGAGCATACAAGATTGGTCTTTATTGAAAAAGAACAAGCATTTTTACTTATATTGTATTTTTAAAACAACTTTTCTGTGTGAGGATTATTTGTTTATAGACATAAATTATCATATAAAATGATTAATCCTACAGCTGAGATATATGTCAAAGTATAATTTTGACCACAACAGTAGTCTAACAATAGACCCGGAAAGAATTTGCCTGAACTGTAGTATGCAGATGTATGAAACTGGGAATGTGTTCTTTCACTGTATCAAATTTGAAACAGATAGAAAAAAGTATTTGACAAGATTTAAATCCTGGAAAGATATAATTAATTTATCACATTTTGTAAAAAAATGATTATTTTTGTGTATTTTATTTTGTGTTATCCTTTACTAAGCTATTTAATTAATTTGTTAAATTTTACTAATTTCAGATTTACATAATATGTATAAAAATAATTATTACTGTGTTTTATTGTACAGTACTAAGTTATTATATTAATTTGTTATATTGTACTAATTTCAGTTTTTATGTAATCCTTTAACCCCCTTGTAACAAACTAAGGTTCATACAATAAAGAACTGCATTGAATAATGATTGCTTTTTACATTTTTTGGCATAAACAATAAAAGAGAGAGACTGTAATAAATGTTCCATTTTGAGTAGAATTGATTTTTTTTCTCCTAGTAAATGAAGATGAATTTGATCTCCGATTGTATACAAGAAATTTATTAATATATCTCCTCTTTAACAAAATACTTACACAATTCACATATTTTTTTTATTTGTCAGTAATAAATGGTAACAAACTTTCAATTGTAGAGCAATTCAAACATCTGGTTTTAGTAAACCATTCTACTGTACTCAGAAAATAGGGGTTAAAGTTTAAGGATGCCCACATCTTTAAACAAATGTGATCCCATACAAACACATGCTAGTTTGCATATCAAAGAGTGCATAGTGATTTGAAAAATACTTTAGAATATATTAATTTGTTTTTGTAAATAAATTTTATGTTTTTGTAAATTTTAAACTTCAATTACCTATTAAGCCTTAACCATCTGCATTATACAACTTGACCATGACATGAAAATTTTTAATATGAATTTTTGATAAAACAAACTAACTATTGTTCCCATAGCAGTTCATATTAATGCAAGTTGACTGTATTTGGAATTTTGTAATAATAATGTCTATTAATATAACTTAAAAATCACTAATACTTTCATTGAAAGTGATCACATTTATATTATTGACATTTTTATATATAAATTTTAAAAATCATATATACCTTTACATGACTCTGTGCTGCAAGATTGTAAATTTCAGATGGTTGAATTTGATTAACTAGTTTGACTAGACAGGTACTGTCTGTTAAATCACCATAATGTAGCTTCATTGCTATAATTAAACAAACATTTAAATAAAACACAACAAAAAATAATCATCAGAAAATCTATAATGATCTATAAAAATATAAAAAAATTTATTATAAAAGTTGTTAAAAAAGAATATTATATTCAATAGTTTCAATAAGAAAAACCATTAATTTAAATTCCTTAATAAAATTAGTAATACTGAAATTAAAATTTAATAATTATTTGTATATAAAATTAATAATTTAAAAAAATAAATTTACACTACTATGATATTTATAGTATATAAGTATCAAATGTGCATTTGAAATGTTTAGTGTTTACACAGAAAATATCAAATAGTCACATCTGTACATAGAATTTGATATATCTGATAATTTATTACTTAAAATTAAGAATATATTTTCCAAAATCTTTCATTAATCATTTTTAAAACAAAATCTAGATATTTTTAAGTATAAATACTAATTTTTAAATTATTTATACTTTACATGTAATGATTATTTATATCTATATGTAAGTATATCTAGATATATCTAATAATTATTTTAAATTATTATATATAAATATTTAATTTTTTCTAGATATTGCCTTAGCTATAAAATTTATTAATGAATTTTTGCCATAAAATTGTTAATTAATATTTAACCAGGTGTCCCCAGAACAGTTTGCTGTTCTGGGGACACCTGGTGATCTGATGAACCTAGTTTCAAATCCAAATAAAACCTGAAATTTTCTGGGATGGTGTGGTATGATCAAGATATATAAAGCTTTATTCTTTCATCATAAAAATGCCCCATTGTGAATCCATGATGAAAAAAGACCTAGTGCCCACAGGGCAGAAAGTGTTAATAACAAAGCAAGACAAATTTCTACAGTAATATGTACAACACAGTATTTTCCAAAAATATTCTAAGAAAAACTTAATAGTATCTGGTTAATTAAGTTAAAGTTTTAATTTATACAAACAGTAAAAAAGCTAAATTTGAAAACTTACACCAAATTTTATATAGTTTCTGGATACAAATTCACTGAGTTCAGCGCTAATAAAGTTCCTTTAGTATTAACACAAGCACTTTCAACGAGTATATAACCATCATCTTCAGGTGTAATGAACAAATTTTAACGAAATGAACGTGCAGAATGTTCCAAAGGAACAGAATATTTAAATTCAAATCAGGTGTCCAGAAATTCCGTTAAGAACGTGCAAATAGTTTTTGATATGTTTGAATCTTTATGCAAACAGATAAATTTTATTAAAGAAAACAAAAAAAAAAAAAAAATCACTCGAAGAACTAGATTTTACTTAGAATTTCAAAATATTATAATTTTGGAAAAGTTAACTTTATTTTATGATTCAATCTAAAGGCAGAAAGATGAAATTATAATCTATTATAAAGATGAAATTTAAATAAAATCTTTCTGGCATCAGTTTTATAATCTAAATCATATACATAAAAAATAAAATTTATTATTATTAATTTTGAAGGGCATTTATTATTATTAAATGGAAAGTATAATTAATTTTTAAACTTTTTAAATTTTTCTATCAGTAATAATATACCAGCTTAATTATAGAAATCAAGAATTAATAAATTTAGAAGTCTGTAATCAATTCATTATCTTATTAAATTAAACTGGATATAACAAATTGATTTTAATTAATATCTTCATTCAAAATTGCTCAGATTGTCACTTAAAATTGTACATGAATTTAAATTGAATTCTACTGTTACAATGTTTATTAACATAAAAAGTAAATATAAATTTTCTGTTCATATAAATTTCTTCAACATACATTATTTATCATAAGTAATAAACAATTGGCAGACATAATAAGTCTGTTTTACATTACCGTAAAATATCACATTACTGAATTAGAAACATGAATTCAAAACAGTGTGAAACAGAATTTTCCTTCTACTTTTCAATTTATATTTTTTTAAGTTATAGAATTTAATTATAATACATAATGTAATAAAGTTTATAACATTACAAAAAAAAAATGAATACAGAATTTGCTTTAACTAAATTTTAGAGAATATTAAAATAATATAACTTAATATTTTCTAAAACTTGTTGTATATATTAAACATGATTTTTGATTTGATTTTTTTTTATTTTACTATGTAATTTTTAATAGAAGTATTGTTGAAATAACATTGATCTCAAAGCTCAATTATTCAGGAAAATTTATTATTTATTATATAATCAAGATATTTTTAAATAATAAAATTTAATCTAATAATTAGAAAGTAACTAGCTTTTAATAATTCTTAACAAATGTTAAAAAAAAAATAAAAACCAAAAATTTGAAAATAAATTTATGTAAAATTAGTTGTTTTTTTAATATAGTCAAATGATTAACAAATGTTGTTATACAGTCGGTGATTGGTTAATGAACAAAATCCGTTCCAAGACTTTGTTCATTATCCGAATTGTTTGTTAACTGATTATCAATTTACCATAGGTTTTTATGGAAATTTGATTAATTTGTTCCAGAGATGCCAAAAAATAAAAAAAATATATACTTTTTTTACTATGTTTATTTATATGTAATAGTAAAAATGCATATATATGCAGTCTTGCATTTTTATTAGTCATGTTTTTTCTGTATGTGGGGGGTTAAAGAATCTGTCCAATGTCAATTGCTTTTCTCTTTTCTTCAGGATTTTTCGGAAATAATTAATAGTATTGTAATTGTAGAGCTCCCCAACTCCATTAACCCTATTCTGGTTTGTTGCCACTTGGATAATTGTTGTTTTGACATCCTACCACTTCTTCAAAAGATATTTAGTAGCAGATGTTGACATTGGTCCTCTTTCGTCTTCCTCTTTTTCAAAAGAAAACACATCTTGCTGAGTTTCTTGGTATTCTTCATTTGAGAGTTCTCAGAATTCTTCTGTCGTCAGATCAGTTTCAGGTTCCATTATGAGCTCTGAAATGCTCTTTATTTCTCAGATGTAATTTTCATTACTCCATTAGCAGCTTGAGACTTCTTGATATATCTTTCATAGGTAAGATTGTGCTACTGTAGACCTGTTCAAGCCATACTGCCTAGCAATATCAGACATCTTTTGCCCACTTTCTACCTTGGCTATTGTCTCTTACTTGGTTTCTATGATGAGCACAGTTCTTGACACTTCTCTTTTTAGGCATCATAATATTATCAGTTTCTTTTTTTAAATAAAAAGTTCAGAAAAGCACTTACAAAAATTCAGAGAACAGAAATCAACTAGCCCACAAAAAATTATTTAAATGCAACACCCAGATGAAATTTGAAATTTGGTATTATAATGTTAACGAATATCCAATGGGACAGTTAAATTTTCACCTTTCATAAACAAACCCTGAGACAAAACTTAACAAGTGTCTGTCCGACAGTCTTGTGAAGACCGTAAAAAATTATTTGTCAGAAAGGTAAAGAAAAAGCTGGAATTACAAAGGAGAGTTTCAAAATTCAGAGGAATATTATATTATCCGATTGGTATCAGGTTGAGTGTCGATGTTGACATCTCCCGCACTCCTAAAGGTTTTGAATTGTTAACTGAACACAAGGGAAAAGCAATTGGTATTTGTTATTTTCCGTTGCTTCTTTTTATGTTTGTTCAGTAAAGTGTTCATTGTCTGATCCTAAAAATCTTTCGCAAAAGTGTTCATTATCCGATTTGTTTGCTATCAAAACTGTTCGTTAACTGATCACCCACTGTATTTTATGTTATTATGTATTAGCAAAATTATGTTGATAGTAAACAGTCAAGTTTTTTTGGTATAATTATCTCAAATTTCTGAATTATATTAACATATACCAATATTTGGTAGATAATTCCAGTATAATTTCTGCTATTTTTGAACTATTCTGTTTCCTACATAAGCAACTATAAACATAGTGTTAATCTTTCTCTACTAAATTATTTATTACAGTGTCAGTCCTAATTACATTAATCATATGCTAGATATAAAAGATTTTGTAATACCTGTTTAATATAATAAGGACATCGATATTTAAAATTCTGATAATGAAAAAAATAATAATATAAATTTAGGAAACTGCATTTACTTATCATGTATAAATTTAAAAGTTTTTTTATTTAACAATTTTTAATGCTTGTATAATCGCAGTATTTATAAATTTTTAATATATTTATTTATTTATAAAATTTTATCTTTGAATATGTTAAAACAAAAGACATTTAATTTAAAAATATCTTACATAAATATTGATTTACCCTTCCTTCCCTATGTAAGTAATCTTAAGGATTTCTTAACTACAAAAAATTTTTCAATTAGATAAATCCAAAACCTCTAATTATTATGTAGGTAATGATTATAAAATGATAACTTTCAACTTTTGAAGTTGTACTTTATATAAAATGCAAATTCATAACAGAATTTCTGAATTATTAATCAACATCAAAATAAAAAACAAAATGGCAACACTCTACAAACAGGCACTAGTGTGAGATTTATATATGCGCTGCTCGTGGGAATGCAAACATTGCAAAATCAAATTTTGACAAATGAATCTTTGAAAAAACCTATTTACCTGTCCTGTGTTATTCCTGACATATCTCTGGTTGTGACCTGCTGACCTTGACCAGTTGACCTGAGATACCTCGTTTCAGCATCAGAACATTTTTGAAACTAGATGGCACTAGTCGTTATAATTTTATATTAAAACTAACTTCTAAAATATAATTTTTTTTTTCTTTTTACATTTATTAATATATATATTTGGTTTGTGCAAAATAAAAACATAATTTCAGGTGATTCAATAGCTACAATTATTTTTTCAAAAACGGGAAATTTTCATTAGGCATTGACAAAAATTCAATCCGGGGTGACATTGAATAGGTTAATGTCACCAAAAATGCCTCATGGCCATGGCCGGCAAAATTTGAGTGATCATGCTCAAAACCAGCGATACCAAAGAAGATTGAAGAATGAGAATGAGACCAATCATGAGCATTGAAGTGATCCCGCTTACCATAGCCAAGAACAGACCCATGACAATGCAATATGTCGTAACCATGGTGGCAATGAAGCCCACTGTAATCTAGTACTCAGGGTCTTGGCGTCAACTTTTCCTCATTGGAGAGTGCTCATTTTTCTCTTTTCCTTAGAAAACGGTATGCAGTTGAGCCCTGAGTCTCCAAGACATAGTCTTGTCCCAAAAATGGCTTTGGTGTTTTACTTGTTTATACTAAATTTTATTTAATTATCTAAGTCTGATTAATTTTCTGAAAATCTAGAAACAACTGAATCACATCATAAGGAAATTTTATAAATCCCCAATCTCAATGGATAGAAGTGTCATTGCACAACAATCTCTGTAATGTGTAACTATTGCTATCAGAACAGCAAAATTTCTAGAAATTTTCAAAATGAAAAATATTTATCACATTATTAAATATAATTACTTTACTTTCAAAATCAAACAAAAACATTAAAGTCAAATGCATATTTTCTACTTAAGTATATCATCTATTAATACTTACAACCAGCAGTATGGGTTAATGGATCCCGATAAAGATGCTGAATACGACCAGTATTAAATGAACTGGATCTTCTTATTATCCCATGCACTTCATATCCTTTTGCTAATAAAAATTCTGCTAAATAAGAACCATCCTAAAGGAAATTTTTTTAATAAAAAAAAAGGTTTGATAAAATTAATTACCAAAACTATATATTTAGCTACACATTATATTACACATATACTGTAAAATTTTTCATATAGATTATTGTTTATATTTTCTTAAATATATTATTTTTAAAATGAATAAAAATTCTATCATTATTAATACAATGAAAATTGTATTATTTTAGCTGAATATAAAATTTATATTTCAAATATAACATTTATGTCAAAACTAGTTTTGTATATACATCTAGGTAACATTATATACAAACAATACAGTATATTTTCTTTTATTTAAATATTGACATAAAAATAAAATATTTAAATCTGATGATATTGCATAATTTTTTTAATTTGGAAAACAGCACAAATATAAAAATTCTATGACTTTACATATTTCTTTAATTAAACATTACTAATGATACTTTTTATTTTTAATAACATATTGAATAATGTAACATTCAATTTATAATATACCCAGATGTTAAATAAGAATTTTGATATTAATTTTGGTTTGCTATTACTTTATATTATATATTTCAAATATATTAAGTAACACAAATAAACTTTTTTCTTAAATAAATCACTTTAAAAATATATACAGTATTTTATTAAATTTATGAATTTTTACATTTAGGAATCACTCAATAAATTAAACATCAAAAGAACTCTACAATATTCAACATTCATCTCCTAACTTTAAAATTATTCAACTTTTTATTTGTTTAAATAAACATTTAATTTTTTATCTGTTTCTTTTATTTAAAAATTTTCGTGCTAACTTTTTCAACTGATTAATTAATAAATATAAATGTTGTATATGAATACTTTTAAAAATTAAAATTTGAAAATGTAAATAGCAAAATTAAAATGAAATATTAATTGAAAAATAAACTGAGATTTAAGAGTAAATACAACTACTGTATCATTTTAATAGTTATTTTTATACATTGAACATATATTTTTATCACAGTTTTGTAAGCAATTTTTTTTGGTAAAAATGCATCTAGGTCAGTGGTTCCCAATTAGTTTTTCCTGCATATCACTTCAAGAAAGAGCTCAAACTTACCCCTTACAGCAGAAATTCATATTAATCCATACTAATATTATAAATTCGAAGGTAANGTAATAAATGTAAAAAAACTTATTCTATTTATCACTAGCTGTCTACTCACAGCTTTGCTTGCGAAGGCCTATGTCACATTTTCTCCCAAGAGAAAATGTGACATAGGCATTATATCACATTTTCTCTTGGGAGGAAGATATTTGGATATGACATAGGCTAAATTTTACTGTGAAAAAATATCTTCCTCCCAAGAGAAAATGTGATATAATGCCTATGTCACATTTTCTCTTGGGAGAAAATGTGACATAGGCCTTCGCAAGCAAAGCTGTGAGTAGACAGCTAGTGATAAATAGAATAAGTTTTTTTACATTTATTACCTTTAAAATACAATTCTAATAATAATGAAAATAACATAAGGTTATTTAATTTTAATGTGACAAATGTGCACAATTTTCTTTGCACAACTTTGTAAAATCTGGTTTTTTGGTCAGCTTCAGTCTCAAGTCATCTTCGAGTTGAAGTCGGTGACGATGTTTAGTTTTCATGTTTGTCATGGCTGAAAATCCGCTCTCGCAGAGGTATGTGCAAAATGGTAGTAAATATTTTATTGCTGCTTTGCTGACTTGATAATAATGATAATTGTACAATTTTTGTTTCTTGTGTGAGAATTTCATTTAGGTATTGTGACAAATGCATTTTTTTGATGAAATTTTGAGAATACCGTATTTTTAGTTATAAATAAACGAATTTGTGCATTCGACATCATGTTGTAAATTGCCAAATTTTTGATGGTCCACCCATTATTTTTTTGATTGCTTCAACTCATGCATTTAAATTTTAAATTAACCGATTTTAGATGGCCACGCGTACCCCTTCATGCAATTTCCCATGCCCCCAGGGGTACGCGTACCACTAATTGGGAACCATTGATCTAAGTAGTTCCTATGGCGTAAATGTTAGCAATTGCTGCAGCTGTTTTAAACACTCCACAGTCAGGATTAGAAGCACGACTGAAACTGCCAATAGAATTAAATCTGTTAATAAATTTTGTCCCTTTAGTGCCACTTACAGGGTCTACTCCCACATCTGCAAAAGCCAGATATGAAAGTAAAAAGTCTACACTGAGTAAAAATATTGCAATTAATAGCAATGACAGTTTAATCTTTACCTTCTGATAAAATATAGACAACCATACATGTTAAAAAACAGGTGTTTTTAACACGTATCAGTCTACTGCTTATTCTACATGCTTTGCATGTAGATGTGCACCTCAATGCTCGCTATCGCTCGTACCTCAGTGCTCAGGTGGGATGCGCCCCATCCCCTAAAACTATATATCATCAAGTATGCCATGAACAGTCAAGTGGGCCACTCGAAGCTGGCATAGTCACATGGGCCAAATAATTAAACACCATAGTCTTGGAAGCACTGCCATTGGGGCTTACAAGATGCACTTCTACCTTTTTATTTTTTTCAAATATTTATCAATTAGATAAGATTTATCTTTTATTTTTCTTAATATTTTAAAACTATTTTAATATATAATTCATTTTCCAAAAGTAACAATTTAAATATAAATTTGAAAATAGAGAAATAATTTTTTTAAACTTTATATATACCAAATGCATGTAAATACATGTATTTTCTATTATTCAGCTTAAAAAATTTTGAGAAATATTCAGTTTCCACTTTCTCCTGTGATTCAGAAGTATTAATTGTAAACATTATTTTGAATTTAAATCATTAATAAAATATTTTAATTGAGATTTTATATGAAATTTCATAAAATGTAATATTCTACATACATTAAGATTAAAAAATATATAATTAATTTCATTTAAACATTTTTTCACAGCACTTTTTGCTATGAAAAAAATATTATTTTCGGAGTTAACTTTTACACTTGTAATTTAACTCTATACAATAAAATGACAATAAACAACTTGTCATTTACACCATTTAAAATTAATTTTAGAAACTGATGATACATTTGATATATCTACAAGTTAAAAATTCGATGATTATTATATGAATGGTACTATCGAATTATTTTTTCTTACTTGGCCAGTAATGCCTGTGATGAGGGCGACTTTCCTCCTATCATCACTATTTACGTTACACGCCATCTTCTTTCCGTTCGGAATGATGACTAGAGAACACACGTTACCAAACACGTTATCCGCGAACTACCGTTACGATCGTATGCACTAGCGCCACCTTTAAAGATTTCGTAATAAATTTTCGGCGAAAATAAAAACACTTTTTAAAAGCTAATTATTAACGAACTAGCAGACCCCGCCACGCGTTGTTGTGGCTCAAAATGTATCTATTATAAATGTATAACACTTCCCCTGTGGGGAGGAAATTTTACGAAAAATTTCTTCTTAGTGTACATTTTCTTGACGTACCCTATTAAAACGCAAAAACCCGCATCTAAAATAATATAAGTCAAATTCTTCACGGTAAGCCTTAATTCTGTCCCTCTCCCCCCAGTGCGGGAAATTTCGACACGTATATGATATAAAAACACATGCGCATTCGAATGCAGCGTTGTGTCAAGATTTAAAAGGAATCGGTAGGAACAAACGAACATTACATTTTTATTTATATAAATAGATAGATGATCCACTTTAGCTCATTTTCACAGAAAAGCGTAATGCCTCGCAGAAAAGCAAACTTAGGGCGTCGTACTCGTAGCGCCATCTGTTGGACATAAAAGCCTTAACCTAGATTATATATTTTAATTTATATGAATGTTTAACGGAATAATATACAGCCTATGTCCACCCTGAGGTTCCATTTTAAATATTGGTGAAAGAATTTTTGAAATCGGATGAGTAGTTTCGGAGATTACCTGCTGCAACGAAACTTACATACATACAAACATTACCTCTTTATATATTAGTATAGATATAGATATACTTTTAGCTGAATTTATTTTAGTTTACAAGTCGCAATGTACAGAAACTCAGACGTTTATTCGAAATATTAAATTAAAGGCGCTTTCGTTTCGTCTAATTAATATATACTTTTACGTCAATTTCGCATTTTATCCTAGGAAAGTTGTAAGAATGACGTCAAATTTACGTAGCAGCTATTCGGACAAAACGAATGCAAAATAATAATATAGAAGTTCGTTAATTCGGCACCCAATAATACGGAATGTTCGGTACACCAGCACTCTCTAAAAAACATCGTGGTCGATCTGTACAAATATTGGGGAAATGTGCCAACGATAATGAATAAGAATGATTTCTCATTGTCGGGTTTTGAATGGATATACAAAATATGGTGTATGTGTTGTGTAGTTTCTGGGATGGCTCGCCCGGCCTAAATCCCGGCCATCACAGAGCGGTAGTGTGACGTCAGAACAGCATGAGCCTTCCGGTCGCCGAAACATATCTAAAATGTTACGCTCTATTTCATTATGCGTTACAATAATAATAATATGTCAAAAATTGCAAAACGTTTGCTTCGTTTCACTTTATACATAAAATGATAACTATCATTTCACAATCAATTTGCTACGTTTTTTTCCTTTTTGAGAAAACTGAAAATGGTTTAGGCCACTGTAAATACTGCAGTATATTGGTAAGCGCCAAATCCGACAGAGAGCGCTGTTTTTGAGCCAAGATGGCTGCCGAAACAGGTAAGGAGCCGACCACGTGTTTGTTCAGTGCCTGAGCCGATTCAGTTACTATCGGTGACGACTACTGCGAGGACCAAATGAAGAACAAATCATTGAATTTATGTCAAATTCTAGACTATATCGGCGACAGGAAACGTTGTCTTGTAGAAGTGAAGCCGTTTTGGATATATGTGACGTACACACACACACACAAAACATAATGTGTGCTACAAACTTTTGACTGGCCTATGTTGTATAAGTGCTGAACGACTCAGCAGGGCAGCCTTCAGATTGGCACTAATTTTAACTATTATGATAAATAAAACTTTGTTTTTATATTGGAACATGATGTATACTGCTTAAAATATTTAAATACTTCTCATCTGTTAACGTGTAATAAACATGCTATCACATGTTTACAAAAACCAGACAGCTACGCTTTGCACGTGCATTCTCCCTGTAATTGAGATGTATTAAAATGCCAATATCTGAGATTGCAACATTAAAGCAACAACATGAACTTCGGTGTTGTTGTTAGAGTTTAATCCACAAAATACGATGTGTCCAGCATCCAAAACGGCTTCACCTTCTACAAGACAACGTTTCCTGTTGCCGATATAGTCTAGAATTTGACGTAAATTCAATGATTTGTTCTTCATTTGGTCTTCGCAGTAGTCGTCACCGATAGAAACTGAATCGGCTCAGGCACTGAACAAACACGTGGTCGGCTCCTTACCTGTTCCGGCAGCCATCTTAGCTCAAAAACAGCGCCCTCTGTCGGATTTGGCGCTTGCCAATACTGTACTTATACGTTTGAGGAAAATATTTCTCTCTCTCTCGAATAAGTGAAAAATTTGATATGTGAGAAAAGGAAAAGGATTAAAAAAATTATCATCTAAAAAGCGAATAGTAAAATTTAACTATGGGACCAAAAAAGAGTTATTTTCTCTAACTTAGGTGTAGTATTCACCATTCGCTATCTATTATGTACAGAACACACCCTCTTTATCTATTATCATGAAATCAATATAATTATTACTGTTACTATTAATTTTTACATTAATTCCTGGAGCATATTGTTTTGTAAGCCGGTACAAATATTCATCTTACTCTATAACATTGATAGCTTTCACATGCAATTCAATAGTTTTATATTCAGCTAAGATACAATATATTCCATAATTCATTAGAAGTGACTATTTTCATCATAACATGATACACAATACATGTTCTTGTATGGTTAAACATATTTATAATATTGATTTTTCAATACTATACCAGAATAATTATGGGAATTTTCTGGAGCATTCTATATTGATATAGTATGTGTGCATGTTAATTAAATAGCTCTCTTGCAGTATATTCTGAAATATTTTCCAAGTAACATTAACCTAATTCTCTGTTATGATATATGAAAATATATTTATGCGCTTATATTTTCTTTGCCATCAGAAACTTAATTCATGCATTTTATTCTTGAAGCCATATACAAATAGAGTGACAGTTTACAAATTTATGGCTGACAGTCACTCTAAAATTGAATTAAATCAATTATAATTGTAAATTTTCAATATTTATAATTTCATAGATGTTATTTTGATTAAATATCATTATAGAATGACTAACTCATTATTTTTGTGTAGAGAGAATTTAGATATTGTATTTATTTATTATATTACTCAAATTCAATGAATTCTAATAAATGTTCTCAGAGTATTTAATTTTAGTTGAAAACATTTATTAAATAAACAATTTTCTCACATCAAACCTTGAGTGGTGTAATAAGATTGTAATTCTCTGAGTATGCCAATAAATATTTTAATTTAGCAACATAGAACTTTCAGCATCTTCATATATTAATAAAAAATTATTATAGTTAAATTTATTCCTTAAATATAGTATTGATCTTTACTATGTAAGTGAATACTTTATAATTACTAATTGTCTGTATATTATGAAATAAACATAACTAATGTACATTAAAATTCATATAAATTGTTTTTTGTTGAAAGATATATGTTCTGTCTTTTAATTGTTTCCAGAGATAAAGAAGAAAAAACACACCCATTTCAGCACAGAAGATTTAGGAAAAGAGTATTTAGTATATTTAAATCATTCTGTGCCTTTGGCATTCAGATCCATTATTTTTTACTGTATTCTGGCTTAAAAAAAAAGTAAAATTAGAATAAACACTTTTATTTATCAGGAATAATTGAAAAGAAATCCTTTACAATTATAACTATTAAAACAGTCTACATGAATATATGCAAAAGCTGCTTAGCTATTGTTTAATTAAACAATAATTTTATTTGAGTTGGGCTAGGTAGAGAATATCAATAGCTGAATGAAGGCTGTTTGGGGTATTTACTTTTCTATGGGAAATTGCAACTTCACTTGTAAGATGCAGGGCAATTTTTTGAGCCTTTTTTTAAAAAAAAAGTTGCATCTTATATGCCATAAAATATGATGTATTTAAAATTAATCCTGGAAGCAGAATGTTGATATTATAATCTATAGCATACTAGTATATTAAATTTACATGTAATGATAAGATTAGGGAGAGAAAATGGAATGTTATAAAACAGGTGTGTTATCATTTATCTACTTTTTTTTTTTTTTATACAGAGCTGATAATGTGAGCTCTTAACTTTTCAATGTCTAAATGGAAAAAGTGCCTAAGTTGCAAACAACACTATTTAAAAATATAAGCAAGCAAATATATGTTTTTTATTCCTAACTTTCATATATTAAAATTTAATTACATTATTGAATAATGATGGAAAAGTTTTAAAAAATTATCAGCTATCTGTTTTTTTGCATTAAAGTACAAAAAAATTATATAATTTATTTTTTAATCAATGAATATATTTTTAAGGTATTGAATTATTAATATTAAATATATTTATTACTTTCATTGTTAAAAAGTGAGAAATATTACATAAGTGAGAGAATATGAAGAAACTGGATTTATCAAATGTAATTTTTATTCTAGACTTAAGTATTGAAGTTACTAGCAGTTTATTTTTTTTTAAATCTCAAAATTTTAGTGTGTTGAATTCCTTGAGAAGTATCAAAATTTGTTGAGAAAATTTTGGTACAGTTGTTACGAGGAGGACAAGAGGAAATATATTAGGGATCATCAGCACCCAAAGACTATAAAAGAGAGGGGCACAAGCCATAAAAAAAGGTATTGTAGATTATGCAAGAAATTTCAAACTATGATTCAATGTCAGATCAGTGCTCCCAAAGAAGACATTGGTTGCACTTGGGGCTAATTGTCTTTGAAAACAAGTTATGGTATGTTGACCAAAACCACATTAACAAAACTATATAAAAATAGTTTAATGCAACTGTATCAAAAGCTACAATAAAGGAAACTGAAAACACTTTAATAGAGTCATCCAATTTATTACTTGGGTTCTAAAGAGGAACTATATACATTCCATGTGCCCACTACTCTGCTGCACTCCCACCAACCCATTGTTCTTCACTCATGTTGCCAGCTCAACTTATCATTGAGTGCCAGTGTTGCCAGAACAGCAGATAAGCAAACATGGGGTAGAGAACTCGATACCCAATAGGGACAATAGACAAATAATGTTCATCAGTTTCTTTAAAAATAGCAGATACTAGAATTTTCTGTTGTTTGTTGATCATTGAATTTGGGCCCCCCCTTAGGGATTACAAAAAGAGCAAACAAGATGAAAAATGAGGCATGTGCCACTGTTGGGATTTGTAGTGACAGCCTTGAGATCCATCCATCCTCAACAAATTTTGATCCCATAATAGAATCACCACTATGGAATCAAGATTTATTAGGAGTCTCATAATACTTATAAGCCTATTTTGCTAATTTCAAACATTACCAAACAGTCAAATTAAATCTAGTTTTAGATATTTGGTAATCTTTAGTCATACTATTATCAATGTGTAAACATTGATAATAGTATGATTTTATAATAAATTTATATATATGAAAAACTGATTAGTTAAATTATTTATACATTAAATTTTATATAGATGATGTACAATAAATAATAATACTGTAACTGCTTCTCAAAGAATTATTGTACAGCTTTGATGTTGGATACAGCAAATCCTAAAAAATATATCAATGAAATCAATTTTAAATATGCTTATACCACATTAATGAATTAGAGTTTTATGTACAAAAAAATATTGCTCATTCTAAATAATTTTGTATAAATATTTTAATATATATAACCATTCTTTTTTCTCCACTTTTAACTCTCTGCTTGTGGACACTAAGAAGGTTTTTCCATATCCATCATGGGTTTGGAGCCTGACGTATCTGAGACAGACCATCCAGATTTGTTTATGGTCCCCAAACCATCATTATATATATTACAAGTTGATACTCTTCTATAGTAACTATGACAGTTTGTTCTCTTATGTTTTCACTTATCGTTAAATCTAATCTTATAATTAGATTATTTTGTAAATTGCTATGCACTAGGCTTGTGGTTTTTCAACTGGAGTGCCATGAAATACTGTATAGTAACAAGCAGCACCATAATGCTTTTTATGTCTATTATTAAAAGTTACTGTATATGTCATTAAAATTATTGATGTATTTAATATCTTTGTAATCATTTTATTGAAATACTGTATACAATTGAAACTAATTCTACACATACTTATAATATATATTAAAGTATACTGTATATAGTAGCAGGGGTGCTGCAAGAAAAAATTACTAAGTTGGAGTGCCACTAATAGAAAAAGGCTGAAAAACACTGCAGTAAGTCCTCAATGGTCCCAGATATAATAAAAAAAAAATATGTTCTAATAGAAAAATTAAAAACCTTTCTTTGTATTCATGAATATAACACACTAAAAGGTTGAGTCAATGATCAATGAGTATAAACTATTCAAATGTATACATTATGTTGTTATTTTATTCATACTTATACATTATAACATTTTAACACATCCTGTATATATTGTGAATTAATTATTAATATATACCTGTAAAATACATTTAATTTAAACTTTTGGCACTAGCAGATTCTCTTTCCCAATTAATCTTTTAAATCAAAGACCTACTGTGCAATGACTTTGTAAAAATTTTAGAAAAAAAATAAAGCACTATTATTTTCAGACTTATATATATTTATATTAATAATAATAAAAAGTAAGTTGAAACAATTAATTTAAAACAAACTAGGTTCAATTTAAATAAATAATCATCATATAATTAATTTTACTATCAATACTTTAAGAAATGAAAGTTACATATCTTGTTTGCAATATTAATAATTTTTTTAAAAATTAAATTGTATATTTCAGAGATATTTTAAAAAAATATTAACAATTTGATGAAATAAAGATAGCATGTAAATGTTCTCAAAAGTTTAAGATTATTCTGTTAAAAATTTTGAACATTAATTAAAAATATTTAATAGAAAAACTAAGATTTCTAGGAGAGAGCTACTGCTTTACAAATAAAAAATATAGGCATTTTCAAAATTTCTAATTATTGTAAACTTTTTAATTTAATGTTTTCCTGAATGTTTTAAACAAAATAACTAAGAAGTTTTAAGGTTATAAATAAGTATGCATCACTATTTCCATAATACCATTCTCTTTATTTTACAATAAGAATTGTTTACTGGAAAATTTAAGTTATAAAAAAAATCTGAAAAGGCAAGATTTTTTTCAATACAGAACTACAACAACAACTATTTTTCTCTCTTGCAAGCAACTGGTAAAAATTCAAGTGTGATATAAAGACCAAATACCATCTAAAATTTTACAGAATCATTAAGACTGATATGTTTCAGTTATGCAAACTACATTTTCTACTATACAATTCAATAAAAATAATAGTTTTCATAAATATATTATTGATTTATAAATGATATAACAAAATTTAATATCTTTTTAACAAGAAAAAATATGTACAACTACTGTTATGAAATTTTTATTTTTGAAAATATATCTCTAGGGAGGAAGAAGTTATTCTGTCTGAAATAATTTTCTGCAAATAATTTAATGAAAATACAGATGAAATCTATAAAGTAAATCTATTAAACTCCATAATTTGTGGTTTATGACAATGTACTGTATTATATTTTATACAAAACTGAATTCATGTTTAAATATTTGTGTATTATTATTTTTAACTGTAAAATATAATAATGGTTATTTTAAATTTACAGTACAGAAGTACAGTAGGCTCTTGATTTGAAACAACATTTAGAACCTTTTTTTCATTTACAAATAAAGCATGCTAAAAGGTTGAGTAAATAAGTATAAATTAATCAATGTACATTATATCATCATCTTGTTCATGCTTATATGTTATATCAATCTTTTAATTCTGTACATTTTAAGTTCATTATTAATATATACTTTTGAAATACATTCAATTTAACAGATTTTCAAGCAATAGGCAATAGGGAACATTCCTTTTCCAATAGTTCATTAAATCAAGGACCTACTGTAATGTCACAAAACACATATGATCAGTGATTATGTCTAATTTGACATTAACTAAAATTTGTTTATATCAGCTCCAATGAAAATTTGCAGAATAAAAAGTAAAAATACTTTTGTTTGTAATCATATTTCTCCCTATCATTCTCATTTTTTAATATTTTTTATTAGAATTTCATTAATATCAGTAATTTGTGAATTTAATTATTAAAGCCAAAACAACTATTTTATCTATTTTGTAATAATTTACATGTTAACATGAATTTAGTTTAATGTTCAAAAATATTTGAATGCAATATTAAGAATTATATAGTAAACTATTTAATTTGTTCACTAAAATAATAATTCTATTATGTAACTAAATAATTTTGTTGCATATGAATCCTGTGTAAAAAGTAAAGTGATTGTCATTATTCTAATTTAGTCAATAAAAATAAGAATTTATTTTAAGAAATTTATTCTTATATTCAGAATAATAATATTTTGTTATAGCATTTATAAATCAATTTTTTGTTCTTTTTTTTTTCTAGATATTTCATTACCTAATTCAGTATGATCTGAATAATTTTAATAATTACTAAATCATTAAGTTAATTATAACAGACAATATGAATGTGATAAGATCATGGATTACATGATTTAATATAAATTACACAGATTCAGTTTTGTTTTCATCAGCACTAAGAATCTACATCAAATGTGAAAATAAAACTTTAAAAAAATTTTTTTGACACGACGATCATACGATTTGTTTTGATAAATACTATTTTCTTCAAAATATATCTACAATATAATAAATATTGCCTTTAAAAATTTCCGTTCTTAAAACATATAAAATTATTCAAATAATAAATTGGAAGTCCTTTTTTTTTTAGATATACATGTACGGTACATAGCAAAATTCTTTGATTACTATATATATATATATATATATAAATTCTATGAATTAAAAACAAACAAAAACAAAGTAGGATCTCCAATTTTAAAGAAAAACTATGTTTAAAATGTCTAACATACACAGAATCTTTCCAAAATTTATTCAAACAACAGTAAGATGCCTATGTTTCACTTTGTTTTGCAAACCTGAGTTTCTTTAACAATTTTTACACTTTTCAGCATATATTTATGTTTCAACTAATACAGTAATTTTTCCATAAAAATAATCATTAATACATTTTTCAATAATGTCATCAAGGAATATAACTCAGAAAATAATTTGTTAATAAAAAAAATATTTTTGCATAATATTTATGAATTTCACACTTTTATCTAAGTTTTTTGTGGCACAAAACATTAGATGAATCAATTAGTAAAATTTCACTAACTACTTGCCTAAATCAAATATAAAACAGATGAAATAGGAACATTATGCTATAAAAATGAGATATTAATGTATCAAATGAGTTTTATAAATCAATTTTTGAGCTGTATTGATACAATACCTACTCTTATACACAAAATTAAATATGAGAAATAAAAATTTTTCTCAAAATAACTAATTACAATTTTAATTACAAATATTTCTTTACAATGCCCTTTACTGCGCAGTTAATATTTATAAGAACTTCTGTTGCATTACAGTTATTTACGTTGTAAACATTCCACAATACATTCTGTACTCACAACTGATTCAATCTTCATGCTCATCATCACTACTGTCTACATCACCTTCATTAGGCACATCCACTAAATGAATGTTACTAAGTAAATCTCTCATAGCATCCAATAATGAGGTGACGCTACGCCGTAAATCATTTGTATCCGAGTTCCTGTCACCACCAGCCGCACCACTTTCTCTATTAGCAGGAGCTGCATCTGCCACTGCTCCTTCTCTTGGCTAAAATTACATAAATACATTTTTAGTCTTAAAAGAAAATATTTGTATGTGTTTTTTTCACAATTTATTTTATTATATAAAAGTACAACTATACAGTTGTACAACAGTTTTGAAATTATTATTAAAAATGTCTGTTAACCATCTTCAAATATTGATATTTTTCTAAACCAGAAATAAATCCAATAAAAATGCAAATTAAACCAAACTAATATTCAAAAATGATGAATACCATGATAAAAACATATTAAAATAAATTTCTGACCATCTTGCCAGAAATTTAAAACAAATCTTAAAAAATTCTCTTCAATTTAACTGAATATTTTTTATAAGGCCAACTTAATATCTTTTGATAAAATGAGCAATTTACAAGTAGTAATTTGTTCTTTCATCTGAAGGTATTATGTTGATCTTATCAAATGCATAAGTAATTTCTGAAATTTTTTCAAAATTATTTTTTAATGCATTATTGTTTTCTGTTGAGATAAATTAAAGTTAAGAAAAACACTCCAGAACAAGGAATGTTTTTCAGAATGTCTTTCAGAAAAATTTTTAAACAACATATTTTATCACATCAATATAATCATCAGTTACTTCAATGAGAGATATGTGAGAAGTTTGTTGCAGCATTTGCTTTTACGACATTTCTAAAAACCTATTCCATTAACTAATGTAATGAAATGTTCATTTTTCTTGTTTCCTATCTCATTACTAAGTTTGCTTTCTCTGTGATAATAGACACAAATCAACACATCTCATTGAAGTAACTGATGATGATATAGATGTGATAAAATATGCTGTTTAAAAATTTATCTGAAAGATATTATTTATTGAATTTTCAAAGTATGAGTAATGTTCAATCTCAAATTCCAATAGAAATCACAAAGTGTGTTCCATTATTGCATAAAATAGTCTTAATAACATAACAATACACAAAATGGTTTCAAAATTGCTCAATAGCATAAAACTTAAATAGGTATGCTGTTTCTTTAAGTTATAATATATATAACTTATTAATTAATTCACAGTTGAGAATGCAAAAGATAATATTGATTCCTGAAAAAAAAAACCAAAAATACAAAATGAAAGAAAAAGATAAATGAGGATATTAAATAAACACAATTTAGACAATTTTTAAAAGAATAAATTATCACATCACTTTTTTTTTATCTATAATGTTTTTTAATCATGATATAGTTTAATTATAAACTAATTCATGCATCTTTTATTCAAATAAATCACTTCTATTTTACTCAATTTCCACATTTCTGATATTTTCACTGATCTGATATAATTCTGCTCTGGTTTACACCAAGTAATCAAGATTGTATTAAAATTTTCAATTTTCATACAAAATTAATATCTATTTCTTTAATATTTTGACAGAAAAAATATAACATTCTTAAAATAATCTCAACAGTGTAAATAAATTTCATAAACATTGTTTAAGAAACATGTAAAAACACTTTTTAAGCCAAACAAACAAATCTTTTATGTCAATAAAAGTATTAATTAAATATCACTCCATCTAGTTTTGGCTCAATTTGTGTTTCATCATAAATCCATGTAAAAATTCAGAAATTCAGTTTTTTCTTCTTCAAATCATTATCAAATCTTAAGTGTAAATTTAAACTATGACCAATCTATTTTATGAGTTTTTACATCTCAGAATCAATTTAAAGATATTTAAATGAATATCTTTAAATTGATTCTACGTAAAATTGTTTATCTTTACTTGAAAATTATTATAAATATGCAATAATAATATATAGATGCTGATATTTTACAATTCAAATAAAAATCCTTACTTTACTTTTAAAGGTAATATATTAATCTATACTAATATTATAAAGAGGTAATGTTTGTAAGTATGTATGTAAGTTTGTTTGCAGCAGGTAATCTCCAAAACTACTCATCTGATTTCAAAAATTCTTTCACCAATATTTAGAATGGAATCTCAGGGTGGACATAGGCTGTATATTATTCCATTAAACATTCATATAAATTAAAATATATAATCTAGGTTAATGCTTTTATGTCCAACAGATGGTGCTACGAGTACGACACACTAAGTTTGCTTTTCTGTGAGGCATTGCGCTTTTCTGTGAAAATGAACTAAAGCAGATCATCTTCTATCTATCTATATAAATAAAAATGTAATGTTCGTTTGTTCCTACTGATTCCTTTGAAATTTTGATACAACGCTGCATTCGAATATGCATGTGTTTTTATATAATATACATTTCGAAATTCCCCCCACCAAAGGGAGATGGTTAGGATTAAGAACTCTTACGGTAAAGAACTCTGCTTCTATTTATACTATTTTAGATGCGGGTTTTTGTGTTTTTGATTGTGTTTTAATAGGGTACGTCAAGAGAATGTACACTAAAAAGAAATTTTTCGAAAAATTTCCCAACACGGGGAGAGTGTTATACATTTATAATAGATAGATTTTGAGCCACAACAACGCGTGGCGGGATCTGCTAGTAATAGATATTAATAGAAAACATGAAAATTTTATTTTATTCAATTTAAAACATACCTTAAAGGAAACAGAAATAAGCAAATAAAAAAAATGTAGTAAAATCATAAAGCTTTTAACCAAAAGGCTAATTATATTTAAATCTTTAGCAGTTTATTTCTATTTTCATTTTAGCAAGTCATACAAAAGTTTTAATATCTAAAAACATGCATTACTTACAAGATTAAAGTTTGGAAGCAATGAACGGAAGAACATGCTCAATACTCCTTGATCATCAGCTATGCTTGACCTAAAAATATATTAATGCAAAGGTTAAATTTAATTTATTTTAAAGTAATGCATACAAAATAAAAATATTTTACAAATAGCAATGAAATTAAAAATGAAACAGAAATTAATATACAGAATATTAAAAAAAATATCTGTGTTTTACTGTGTTCAAAACTGTGTTACTGTGTTACAAAACTGTGTTTTACTGATAAATGTTCAGTAAAACACAGTTTTGAATTTTTGATTTATCAATTATTATATTTATTTTTTTAATCATATCAATGTAAAATAAATTTCTCCACAACCCCAAAACAACCTTCTGATAATTTACTGACTCTGGGGACTATTGACCAGGTTGGAATGTAGCTAACTTATTAATTATTAACTATAATAATAGTAAAAACTAAGTATATCAAAGAATTTGTAAGATGCTGTATCAGAGTGTTTACCAATTGACAAAACAAAAATTTAAGTATTTATCAGCAAATTTTGAATATCATTGGATCTGATTCCAAATCCTTAAAATAAATACTTTATGCTTAAACTTTTTGGGTATTAGCAACATATTACATGAAATAAATGACAAATTATAATATTTTAATATAAATAACTGGTATTTTGCTATTAAGCTTTAAAATTATGCCCATTTATAAGTGAATTTCTAATTTTTAAAATAAATATTTGAAAATAAAAACTATGCTGCAGGATGTAATTCATTGTAAAATCTTCTAGATTAAGGATAAAGAGTTTATAGCACTATGTACTTATCAGAACAAAAACGTTAATAATATTAGCCATTTTATAATTTTAAATATAGAAACATTGAAAAAACAATCAAATCCAGCAAACAAAAAATTTCCATTTTTTACACTTAATTGCTAAAATACATTGCATATTCTGAATACACATTATATTTCAGCAATTAAGAATATTCTGTTATCACAGCAACATTAGAAATAGATTGAAATTTATATAATTTCAAATATAAAATTTAAATACATAATTTTCAGAAGTTTTAGGAAAGTTTGGAAGAGATCAAATACAGACATTTTCATCTGAAATCAGTATATTTAATTTTAAATTTATATTTTTACAAGAAATTATAAATTTTGTTGATATTATCATCAGTTTTAATTTGAATGGTCTTATTTTGCTCAATTTCACTGAAATGAGATACAGTTAAATCTGTCTATCTCAAACATGTTTATCTTGAAAATGCAAGAATCTGGAGTTTGAGAAGGGACTTTTCAACATTTTAAAATGTTATTTGATTATTTTTCAATATTATTTTAAGTCAAAAAAGGTACAAAATTTATCTATCCTTATTATCTTTGTACTTCCTCTGATTCACAAGAAGTGACATTTTTCCATAAAAAATGATAGTTAACACTTGGATATCAGCTCACAAACATCTGATTTCCCTTAGTAACAGAACCAGGGCAAGAATTTGTGGACATTCTCATTGGTCCATCCATTTTGTATATAAGGTGACTCTTCACTTTTAACAAATGCTTTGTCATGTACAACCATACTTCTAGCCATGGACTACAGTTACCCTTTGACATTTGATAAAGTTCCCGTTTATATTTTTGGTGCCCTCATTGAGTGCTGAATTATAAGTTTACAAAAGTTCCACTCTCTGTGTACAAAGTGTTAAAGGTTCTCAAAGCATGTCAATATTATGTACCAGATAATGATTAAATATTATTTGTAAGATTTCTCATGCAATGACTTTTGTAACTCATTAGTTATTCTCTCTATGTAGATAATAGTTTAATCATTGGTCATTTTATTTATCAAGTATTAATCTAATTGATTATTGTTATAATTATTATCATTTCTTGTATGCATTTTATTATATAGTCGTTTAAATAAATATATTTGATTATTTTTTTTAATGATATCAATTTACCAAACTTCTTCATCTTCCCCACATAAAGCAAACACCTTTCTACCTACTTACTTTACTTGTATACAGTGCCGGCCTGAGGCAAGTTTTAGGATGGAGCGAGATCCTATTATGGCGCCCGGGAGTGGAATCCCGCTTACGCACACTACCTACGCGCGTCTCAACAGATAAGGCCATTTACATACTGGCCACACGCTTGCAACTAAAATATCGAAAAGTGAAAAAAATATTTTTTCCTTTAATTTTCTTTACCACTGAGGCGCCCCTAAGACTTAGCGCCTGGAGCGGCTGCTCCGTTCGCCTTATGGTAGGGCCGGCTCTGCTTGTATAAAACTAATTAATTAATTTTAAACATGATTTGGAAAGTGTACAATAATCCTATTTCTGTTAAGGTATGTCAAAATATTTTATTCATACCTAGTACAGATATACAGTATGTTGTATTTGCTATGGTATTAATAAAATACAATAGCAAGTACAGTGTATACCTCCAATCAAATCTATTACTGCTTACTATGTAGGAACCTCTATAACTTGAAACCTATCTATCTTTAATTTTTTCTTATTCCATTGAGATTTAAAATAAACAGATTTAACTGTGTCTGGATTTTCAGATATATTGTCTTCTGAAAACAGGTATCTATCTATCTTATAATTTTTGCTTTTTGGTTTTAATATTAAACAATTATAATTACTAAATTTAAATTTTATTTAATTTAAAATTCATAAACTTATCTTAAATAGCAATAAAAGTAAACCAGTCTCAAGAGTACTCATTATTAAAATAAAAAAGTAAAATTAATTTTATTCTGTTTTATTACTTTATGACATTTAAAATGCTTTTTTTTAATATTTATCTCATTATTAGAAACATTTTTAAAATTTCAATCTAAATTTTAGCTTCAGACCTAAATAAATATAATCTTTTTAAAATTATATAACATGATTTATAAATTTACCTGGGAGATCTTGAATAAGAAGTAATAGCATCAGTTGGGGGCAATGGATCAAATCCAAATATAGGTGTATGTGTCAAATCCTAATTCACAAAAATTTATTAGAATCTTTAATTTCTTAGATTTCTTAACACACTAATTCAACTAACCTGTGGTAATGTTACTGATGCTTCTTTTATGTTAGATAAAATTATGTGCCGAACAATATTACGAGGTGTTGATTTATAACGTATTTTACGCCTGGAAAAAATTTTATTAAAAAGGAAATTAACTTAGATATATATATCTATCTATTTATTTAAAAGCAAAATTTTTTATTTCAATAAAGAAAATACTTTTCTTCACAATCAGCTACATATGGATCTTTATCTTCAACCCTTTGTAATACTTCTTGAACATTATTTTCTAACCAGGACATAATTTCTTGATCTTTCCATATTAAATAGCATCGTCCAATATATAAAGCTATTAATTGAGACAGAGCAGCTGACTGGCTATAAAAACATTCCAAAACATAAGTTTATATAAAAAAAATTCTATGATAAAAACAATTATTATTACAAAGTATATTTCTGTTAAAAAAAGGAAAACTTTGTTCTAGTTAATTTTGATTAACAATTTATAAAAATATTATATAATTTTTATTTCAGAATTTATTTACCGGTATTTAACTCTATAAATAATAACTTTTGGTACAAAACATATTTCAATAACAAATCAATGTGAAATTAATACCTTATTATATATTAGCAAATATGCCTTAGAACTATCTTGGCAAAATGTAACAACTCTTAAAATGTTTTCAATTTAATTGTTAAGTTATTTTAGCTTACCGTTGCCATGTTTATTGTGACACTCAGATGATATAGAACAGTGTAATTTTCATTGATCAGGCAAACAGGAATTAATATTTTTCAACAGAAAATTGTCATTGGCTTCTGCCTACATGAGAAGATTAATTCAAGATATCCAAATTTTTTTAATGTTAACTTTAACATACCATTTACAGGTGAATATTGAATGGTAATTGGCCAACCCATCAAATTTTGTGAAAAATGGACAAAATATTTAAACTTGACACACCTAAAAAATATATTTTTGCTCATTGGTAACTTTGTAATAAGTAATTTTTCTATTTGAATGCCACCATCCTGTTAGTCAGATAGCCTGTTATGGGTGGGGGGAGTTGAAGTTAATTTAACCAGAAATGTCATTGGCCTACTCTCTAAAAAGTGGATGGTCCCTGAAAAGTTTCATTGTATTTGCTCAACTAACTAACTTACTTTCTTCTTTATCTATTAGCTGCTTCAAAGCTAAAAATAGACTGTACTTTTAATAGTTGCTGCCATAATCTATTTGATAAAAATGTGAATCATAAATTTTTAACAATTCAATTACAAAAATAAATATATTAAAGCAATTTAATACTACAGATAAAAAAATTAGCAGTACAAGTAATCTAACTTAACATTTATAGAATCTCTACAGATAAATTAGCTAAATACTAACAAACTAATAGATCTGAAGTTTGAAATAATATAAGAACAGAGTTTCAGTATATAAATGTGTTAATATTAAATTAGATAGATGTTTAATCAAGATGACTTAGCAAAAACTTCAAAATTATATCAATAAAATAATGATAGTAATTTAATCATAAAAACGTTAAAGACTGAAATAATTAATAATGAACAATTGATAACATATGTGCATATAAACAACTGCTTTGTCATCTAAATGAAATTGTTTTATTGGTAGAAGATGCACTGGAAAATTTTAAAATGACTTAGCATCACAAGAGAGATGAGCTAATTTTATAAGTCAAAGAATGATACCATATCAAGTATATATAAAAACATTTTATTTTCTCTTTGTGTGAACCACACCACAAAAGTGGATTAAAAACTATGTAGACATGGATAAGACAATAATGTAGGAGTGAAGTAAAATAATAATTTAACACAACTATTTATTGCATGATCATTAAAAATATGCTTATTTTCATCTATAAAAATTATTAATGCTGTTAATATATTATTTTCAATATAAACTCATTGTCATTTTTTTTTAAATTTTTAATAAAAGTTTCTTTGGAATAATTACAATGAAGTACTGTTTATACATTTCATATTTATACATTTTTATCATTTATATGTAGTTTTACATTAATCCAAAACATTCCTATTCTTTTTGATAATGAAATATTTCATTAATGCATCTAAATCCATTATGGAGTTTCATTTATATGTCATTTTCTTTATGAAGATGATAATAGATGTTACAATATTCTTTCAGAAAATTTACTCAAAATTTCTAAAACATACTTTCCTGCTTCTTTCAGAGAGAAAGAAGCAGGGCTGGCTGGTTCTGGTAGGTGGACAATGTGTGTGTGCGTCTACTGCCCTAGGAATTTGGTTCCTAGGCAGATAGTGCACTTTAAAAAATAAAATTCAAATTTAATTTATTATTATTTTAATATAGTGGTCAATGATGAAAAAGATTGATGTTTGCAAGACAACTGATAATATAGTTGAGCAGTTTATGGACACAAATAACCAAGCTATATTTATGTTAGTGTCTTATGATTAAGTTTAAAGTTACACTTATGTAACTCATTGTGAATAATTGATTAAATAATATAAGTACAGTAAGACCCTGCTTAACGCTGATTCAATATAACACGATCTGCAAAATTTACGCTGATTTAAATTATCGTGGCATTTCATTGATTCGTATATAATACGATTATTTGTGAACATGAACCAATCAGCAAAAGGTGGCAAAAAGGTGTACTTTCTTTAAATCTGTTTGTTTGGTGGAATTTTAGATAAAAATATAACATTATGGATGCCATAGGAAATATCGACTTCGCTTGGCACGAACAAAGTGTGGAAGAAGTTATGGCTGAAGGTATCTAAGAATTCTCAATGAGAAGAGTTTATTGCTGTATGATTAGGTTTACCAAACTCAACCTCAAACTTCTCAATATTCTGCTCAATATCTTCCTCAATATACTACAGGTTTTTGGTGAGAACTGGATATCATTATAAATGAAATTTTTAACTTTGATTACCATAAGATTATCATAATACCAATTAATTGATATTCCAAATTATATTTAACATTTATCTATAATATACGTACAATAAGAAATTAATAAATTTAAAAATTACATACTTTATTTGAGATTTTGAGCCAAAAAATGGATGACTGGAAACATAAGGATCTGGTTGAATGCCACATTTATCCAATAACGGCATTAATAAGCCAGGAAACATAATTAAAGAATTCTGAAGCTGTGAAGCATAATAATAAGTATTAAAATTAAATTTAAAGTAAATGTATTTAACATTATGCTTATTTATTACCATTGTGTTTGCCTGTTCACAGAGTTTGTCTTGTGATGACTGTAAAAATATTGCTAATGGAACAGAAAATGCAAAATTTGGAAGCTGAGAAAGATTTCTTTCAGCTTCCCATTCATGATACATGCGAATTAAAAAGTCATATTGTGCAGATCTTAAGGCATAATAATCTATCATCAAAATCACACAAAGTGGATCTTCTATTGGGTCTAGTCTGAAAAAATAAATATGAAAATATATTTTAAATTACACATGATAAAACTCATAATTAAAACTTTAAAAAAACACACACACACACAAAAAATATTCATTTGGATTAAACAATAATAAAATTTCCATTTAACTGAAATTTATATATTAGTAATCAAATCAAAAATAAAAAATTAAAATTATAGAATTTATTTTTTATTTTAAAAATCTAATAATATAAAAGTTGTAAAATCATATCATTTGTATTTACTCATATTTATTAAAATATATAATGCAAAATAACAAAATATTAAAATTAACTTACCACAATATTATAAAATTATAACAAAACTTTAAATTTAAGCTTTTTGACTAGTAACTTTTAAAATATTATATAAATAAATAATTCTATTCTTTAATAGACTGAATTCACCACTGTTAATTTAAAAATTCTCTCTGTATCTTACGGAATGTTAAATTCAACATAAAAAGTATTTAAATCTTAAAAAATGATATTCAAATTAGATCAGGTATATTCAGTTATAATTTTTAAATTTCAGTAAATTTTAAAATATATATAAAATGTGAATCAAACATTAAAAAACAAATGTTCCTTTCATTTTAATATTAATTGCACAACTTCCTATCCTACAATTGGAGTATAGCAGCTCAGATACAATAATATACATTTATCACATGATGCAAGGTCACATCTCAAAGTAGAGATTTTTCTTAGATCTTTACATTCACCCAGTTCTAAGACCCAGTCAAATTTTGTCTTCAGCTTCAAAGCATTCTAAGAGTAAAAAATAAAAAAATCTGTTCTATCTAAACTTAAAAGATTACTCCCTTTGACCAATATATAATGAATGACATTGGGGTCAACAAAGGAAAGAACATGTTATAAAGCCAGAATTATATCCTAATAAAGTGACACTTTTCATTTGATGGATTATATTGGAATAATATACTGTATTGTAAACTGCTCAAATCCAGTAAGACCTTTAATGCAGATAAATATTGCACTCAGATATTTAAAAAAACAATTAATGTTCAACATTTTTAAATAAGCTACAAAAAACTATGATCATCATTAAATGCATCTAAAATTTTATCTCAAAGCTTCCAATTTCTACAAGGAAAAAACAAATTAGTTTCGAGATATAAAACTAAAAATGGTCATTATAGTAGACCCCCCTATAACACAAGTTCATATAAGATGTATTCGTATAACATGGTGGGAAAATTGTGATCATGTTCATATAACATACTAAAAGAGGCTCGTGTAACACAGTAAAAGAATGCAACAGATTGTCACAGCTAGAGGATTTGATCCCGGGATCTCGACCACTTTTCAGTCCCAAAATTTTCGGGATTAAGTTTTCCTAATCCCGAGATTTTCGGGATTGACATCATTTTAAAAAAAGTTGCAAAATAGACTGCATGAAGCGAAACGTTCAGTGCCAGTGCTTTTAACAGAATTGCTTGCCTATCATTTTAATATAAATACAAGAAATTTTATTCCAAGCAAGCAGCAGAAATTAACCTAGGCGGGCTTGCGATGCTTGCTTGGAATAAAACTTCTTGTATTTTCAACTAAAGTGATAGGCAAGCAATTCTCACTGGGTTACTTGGTAATATACTTCATTTTTGTATTTTTGAATTTTCGTGGGTGCCAATCGATTTTCTGGTGCAGTCGAGAGCACTACTCAGTGCGTTTTACCTGTCAATGTGCCAGCCATCTTGTTTTGCCAGTGTAGTTAATATAGACCTGATGCCTCTCGCTCAGGGGGTCAACCTTAGGTGAAAAGGTTATGACCCTCGCCTTGCCCGCGATCTGTCAGGATGATGCGAGAAAGTCTTTTTATGTTTCGGGGTAGTGGTTTGCTGGATGCTGAGAGACTCACACAGAGACCGAATTTACAAAATTAACGCGTTTTTTTAGAAAGACATGCTTACAATGATCGAAACAATCGGGATTATAGCCTTTACTCCTACAATCCCGATCCGTGCCGACCGGACTGTTTTCTTCCATCCTCCCCGTGTCCTCGAAGCTTATAAGTATTTACTAACGATTCCTCCAACTTCCATCAAACCTAAACGCGTTTTCTCAGCAGCTGCATATATGTACAACAAATTGAGAAGCAGACTTGGTGATGAGAACTGGATGCGTTGTTATTTCTCAGATCATATTTTCGCAATTCAAATTAGAATGTTCCTATTAGATTAGTTTTCTTTATATTTAAGAAAAATGTGACTGATTAATATTATTTTAAAATACTTTTTGCTAAGAAACTTACTTTACTACCTACTTACTAGGTTGTTATATGAAAGTAGTCTATTTAGTCGATGTTAAGAGAGATTTTTGTTAATTTTCAACGTTTATTTGCATAGTTTGTTACATGAAGGTTTTTTCAATTTATGTGAGTTTAAAGAGATCTCAGTGATGCTTAAAAAAGAATAAATTTAACATAAAACAGTGATTTTAAGTCTGGTTAGTCTGACTCTAAGTCTGATTAGTTAGAGTGATTAAATTAGCTAGGTGTATACCGTAAAATATGTTGATTTTTGTCTAAATTTTGATTTTTGATTTCTGTAAGATTTTCTTATTTTTTATTAACCCTCAATACTGAAATAATCCCGGAATCCCGGGATTGAATAAGTATAATCCCGAAATCCCGGGATTAGAAATAAGGACCGGGATCGAATTCCCTAGTCACAGCCGACTCGTATTTCAACAGGATTAGTCAAATCTGGACCAATAGCGGACATTGCACAAACTGTTGAGTTTAAACATGCAGTGGACCTAATAAAAAACATTTATTATTCAATGGCCATAAAAATTATATTTCTATTAATGATGTCTCCAAAGTTCAGCGAATTTTTCGCAGAAAAATAACTTATCAGGAAACACGTGCCCGCCGTTTGATGAGCCGCTCCGCGACAAAAACAAGCTTAAGCAATGGCATCTTCAAATAGTGCTCAAGTGGTAAGTAATCCTACAATTTTTTGTTTATAGTGTAGTTTATATGGATTATTCCCAAAAAATTATACGTGTTTTGGAAATGTTGAGTCAAATTAGTCTAGAATTGGTTAATTTTATTGAAAAAACCTTTCAAACAGCTGTAGCTGCTAAATTGCACACATGCCGAGCTGTGATTGGCTCATGTATTTAAGTGGCTCATACAACACGGAATTCATATAACATGGAACGTATCTATCATGTTATGGGGGTCTACTGTATATATGCTAACTGACTGAAGTAAAGCATCAGATAATATAATTTAATATTTATTATTATTTCAAAAATTGCCCTTCAAACAATCTAATAGTTTTCTATAAATTAAAATTTATACACATACCCTAATATAACTTTACAAAATTCTAGTGCAGTCTTGTTGCAACCTCTTTGCCCAACAAAAGAAAGATGTTTGAAAAGAGCAATATAAAATGACCTATAAATAAAGTCATTTTAATATTAATTGCACAACTTCCTATCCTACAATTGGAGTATAGCAGCTCAGATACAATAATATACATTTATCACATGATGCAAGGTCACATCTCAAAGTAGAGATTTTTCTTAGATCTTTACATTCACCCAGTTCTAAGACCCAGTCAAATTTTGTCTTCAGCTTCAAAGCATTCTAAGAGTAAAAAATAAAAAAATCTGTTCTATCTAAACTTAAAAGATTACTCCCTTTGACCAATATATAATGAATGACATTGGGGTCAACAAAGGAAAGAACATGTTATAAAGCCAGAATTATATCCTAATAAAGTGACACTTTTCATTTGATGGATTATATTGGAATAATATACTGTATTGTAAACTGCTCAAATCCAGTAAGACCTTTAATGCAGATAAATATTGCACTCAGATATTTAAAAAAACAATTAATGTTCAACATTTTTAAATAAGCTACAAAAAACTATGATCATCATTAAATGCATCTAAAATTTTATCTCAAAGCTTCCAATTTCTACAAGGAAAAAACAAATTAGTTTCGAGATATAAAACTAAAAATGGTCATTATAGTAGACCCCCCTATAACACAAGTTCATATAAGATGTATTCGTATAACATGGTGGGAAAATTGTGATCATGTTCATATAACATACTAAAAGAGGCTCGTGTAACACAGTAAAAGAATGCAACAGATTGTCACAGCTAGAGGATTTGATCCCGGGATCTCGACCACTTTTCAGTCCCAAAATTTTCGGGATTAAGTTTTCCTAATCCCGAGATTTTCGGGATTGACATCATTTTAAAAAAAGTTGCAAAATAGACTGCATGAAGCGAAACGTTCAGTGCCAGTGCTTTTAACAGAATTGCTTGCCTATCATTTTAATATAAATACAAGAAATTTTATTCCAAGCAAGCAGCAGAAATTAACCTAGGCGGGCTTGCGATGCTTGCTTGGAATAAAACTTCTTGTATTTTCAACTAAAGTGATAGGCAAGCAGTTCTCACTGGGTTACTTGGTAATATACTTCATTTTTGTATTTTTGAATTTTCGCGGGCGCCAATCGATTTTCTGGTGCAGTCGAGAGCACTACTCAGTGCGTTTTACCTGTCAATGTGTCAGCCATCTTGTTTTGCCAGTGTAGTTAATATAGACCCGACGCCTCTCGCTTAGGGGGATCGACCTTAGGTGAAAAGGTTACGACCCTCGCCTTGCCCGCGATCTGTCAGGATGATGCGAGAAAGTCTTTTTACGTTTCGGGGTAGTGGTTTGCTGGACGCTGAGAGACTCACACAGAGACCGAATTTACAAAATTAACGCGTTTATTTTTAGAAAGACATGCTTACAATGATCGAAACAATCGGGATTGTAGCCTTTACTCCTACAATCCCGATCCGTGTCGACCGGACTGTTTTCTTCCATCCTCCCCGTGTCCTCGAAGCTTATAAGTATTTACTAACGATTCCTCCAACTTCCATCAAACCTAAACGCGTTTTCTCAGCAGCTGCATATATGTGCAACAAATTGAGAAGCAGACTTGGTGATGAGACACTGGATGCGTTGTTATTTCTCAGATCATATTTTCGCAATTCAAATTAGAATGTTCCTATTAGATTAGTTTTCTTTATATTTAAGAAAAATGTGACTGATTAATATTATTTTTAAATACTTTTTGCTAAGAAACTTACTTTACTACCTACTTACTAGGTTGTTATATGAAAGTAGTCTATTTAGTCGATGTTAAGAGAGATTTTTGTTAATTTTCAACGTTTATTTGCATAGTTTGTTACATAAAGGTTTTTTCAATTTATGTGAGTTTAAAGAGATCTCAGTGATGCTTAAAAAAGAATAAATTTAACATGAAGACAGTGATTTTAAGTCTGGTTAGTCTGACTGTAAGTCTGATTAATTAGAGTGATTAAATTAACTAGGTGTATACCGTAAAATACGTTGATTTTTGTCTAAATTTTGATTTTTAATTTCTGTAAGATTTTCTTATTTTTTATTAACCCTCAATACCGAAATAATCCCGGGATCCCGGGATTGAATAAGTATAATCCCGAAATCCCGGGATTAGAAATAAGGACCGGGATCGAATTCCCTAGTCACAGCCGACTCGTATTTCAACAGGATTAGTCAAATCTGGACCAATAGCGGACATTGCACAAACTGTTGAGTTTAAACATGCAGTGGACCTAATAAAAAACATTTATTATTCAATGGCCATAAAAATTATATTTCTATTAATGATGTCTCCAAAGTTCAGCGAATTTTTCGCAGAAAAATAACTTATCAGGAAACACGTGCCCGCCGTTTGATGAGCCGCTCCGCGACAAAAACAAGCTTAAGCAATGGCATCTTCAAATAGTGCTCAAGTGGTAAGTAATCCTACAATTTTTTGTTTATAGTGTAGTTTATATGGATTATTCCCAAAAAATTATACGTGTTTTGGAAATGTTGAGTCAAATTAGTCTAGAATTGGTTAATTTTATTGAAAAAACCTTTCAAACAGCTGTAGCTGCTAAATTGCACACATGCCGAGCTGTGATTGGCTCATGTATTTAAGTGGCTCATACAACACGGAATTCATATAACATGGAACGTATCTATCATGTTATGGGGGTCTACTGTATATATGCTAACTGACTGAAGTAAAGCATCAGATAATATAATTTAATATTTATTATTATTTCAAAAATTGCCCTTCAAACAATCTAATAGTTTTCTATAAATTAAAATTTATACACATACCCTAATATAACTTTACAAAATTCTAGTGCAGTCTTGTTGCAACCTCTTTGCCCAACAAAAGAAAGATGTTTGAAAAGAGCAATATAAAATGACCTATAAATAAAGTAATATAAAATATAAAAAAGTAATAATTTTTTAAAAATTATTTTATTTCCAGAATTATAACCTGTTTTCTGCTCTTCTATAATCAAGTCGACAATTTCCTTGACTGACATTGAAGAGAGGATGAAAGCAGCATTCAAAACAATATAAAGCTCTCTCTTTAAATATACAAATATTGAAATAAAATAATTATATTGTAATTACTTTAATAATATTTATAAACAATATGATTAAGAAAGTTTACCAATTAATTCAGCTGCCATTTGAAAATCCTCCCCCATTTTACAAATATCACTAAACTGGATAAGGGCATCAATATGATAAGGATGCATATTTAGTAAGGCCTAGAATAAAAAATATATATAATTTAAATTACCTTCTTATTTAGTCTTTATTTAGTCATTTATTTAATATAATAATTATCAAAATGACAGATTATCTTTCTAGTAGTATAAGAAAAATCAACTGATCTATTCGGGGTAGTGGTTTGTAGATTTTCTGAACATTATGTATACACAATATTCAAAAATTCTCTACTGATATTTATTTTATTTTTTTTATTTATCAAAAAATCACTGTGGCCAAATAAGCGTTTTTCAAGTATCTTCAAACAAACAACCAACAAATAAAGCAAAAAAATAAGAGGGTTAGTTAAAATAATAACCAAACTGCAGACTGATTATTATACATTATTTTTGTAGATCCTTTTAGATTGATTAATAACAATCACTATAACTTAAGTCTTTTACATTTTTTTTTGTAGATTTTGTAACTTGATATCTTTCTTAGATCATTACCCAAACTATTCCAATAGGAAATCATTTGGAAAATCAATGCAGATTTTCCCACTGTAAGTTTAACAATTGGAAGATTATATCCATAGGTCTTGAGAGTATCCCGTGTCAATACATTTTGAAGTTCACCTATTTTGTTTCCAAGACAGCTGTTTTCCTCTAATAGGACTTGTTTCTTGTAGATTTAGCATATTCTATCAATATTTTCAGTGCAGTAGAATTCTGTGAAATGTAAATTATGAATTGAACAAATAAAACAATTTTGTACCATCTGAAGTTTGTTAATAGTATATAAAGATGCAGTTCCCCAGACTATAATTCCATATCTTTCTTTGGATTCCATGCATATATGGTATAATCGATTCAATTGTAATATACTTAAAAAGTTTTTAATTTTTTTATTTATCCCAATATACTTTGCCAAGGATAAAGCAATATCATCTATTTGTCTATTCCAGTGCAGATTATCATCAAATGTTATCCCTAAGAACTTTATAGCACTTACTATTTATGTTATTTTCAATTATTTCAATTTTTAGGTGGTCTTTTTTGTTTCTATTGGTAAAACAGAGAAATTTTGTCTTGTTTTTATTAATTGCCAGCCTATTTTTTCCATATAACCATTTAATGTTTTTAGAATGTTATTTAAATTCTCTTGAAGAATTACAACATTCATATGAGAAATTATCACTATCTGTATTTGTAAAAGAGGGTGAGAGTTCTGGAAAAATACCATTTTCGAAAGATTGTTTACCAGGTACGACAACGGTTGAGCTAAGATATCTGCTGTATATTTTAGAATTTCAATAGTTAAAAAATTAATGTCCAGAGAACTATTCTTTAAACTCATTATAGTGTTATAAACCACTGAGGGAGTTGAGTTTTCCAAAAAGAAAGTATTGGATATACCAGCATTTACTATATGCTGCTTTAAGTTGACACTGCTGCAAACATCTGGTGCAAAACCCTTCATGGATCTGCAGTAATCGGCAAAGATATTACAAATTGTGTGCAAATATTCAATCAATCAATCAACATTTATTTGTTATGGCTTTTGCCTTTACAAAGGGGGTTACAAAATCGTAATGACATTAACAAATACAAATATTATTATACATAATTACAAGAATAGTAAATAATATTATATAACATTACTAATTAAGTTAACATGTTTAATGAATAGCAGAAAAATTTATAAACTTTATACAACATAACAGAACTTAAATTATCATCGTATAAGCAAAACATATCAACATCAATTGTCAAAAAAAGGTCCTTTAAGTGCTTGGTAAATTCACAAGATACAAATAACTGGTTCTTAATGTTTTCACAAAATCTATTACATAGTGGACAATTGGAATGAGCCGATACATTCATTCTACACCAATTTAATACAATAGTATAATCATTAAATTGTAGTTGTATTATTAAAGATTTAATATTGTAACTTAAGTTTGATAACAAATAATATCGAAATGTCTGTGGGGAAGATAAATAAGTTTCAAAAAAACTACACTTTTGTTCAATATAATGAATATCTTGGGCCCAATATTTATCTTTTAATGATGCAAATGTTCAGCTAGAAAGAGTTCTTTTTTATCAGGAATTTGAGTATAGTAGGCAATAGAATAACCTAAGTCAGACAGTAAATGTTTGACTGAAGAAAACTAAGTTACAACCAAAGAATTTTTACCTATTGATTTTGTGAGAAGCCAAGGTAATAGAATTGTTTAACTCTAAGTCTATGTCACTTACTGACACACAATCATGAGATTGGCTCACTTTTTCTTCAGAGGGCTTTTTAGGAATTAAAGTAAAAAGGTGGAGAGAGATGATCTCGTAATCACCTTTCTCCTCATCAGGACTCACGACACCAGTTAATCAATTAAATCCATGGATTAACACGCGTAAATAAGGAACTTCGAGCTGGAGGGACGCAAGTACGTGGAGTAAACATAGCTGTGGATTCCAGTCATTGAAAATACCATATTTTTAGTATAACAAAACAAAAGATTTAATAGAATCAATTAAAAATAATATTACAATAAAATGGATTAAGAATAATATTCTAAACCTAACTCAAGAGAGAAAATTTAGCCATTTAACCTATCTATATGCGAGAGAGAGAGAGAGAGAGAGAGTTCACATAAACTCAATAGATTATACTACCTTCATGGAGATGTTTAAGAATTGTAACTTCGATGATGCACTATTTCACTATGATCGACATCTATGTGATGGTCCTCTTACCATGGATGATCTTCATCATATAATATATCATATATTTTCTTTCAATGCACTGAGTTATATTGTATGGCAAATTCTGTCCTCTATGCACTGATTAATATGGCAAACAGCCTTTCTGGGTCAACTACTTCTTTAGGAGAACTGCCCTATATTGTATGGCAAACTCATGAAATGGCGGAAAAAATCCCTTTTTATATCGGCCTCCTTGGACGGCCAAGTACCATGTGCAAAAGCCGCATCTGAATCAACTTCAATTCGGCCAATAGAAAGGAAGTTAAACTTCCCTTCAGGAGGAAGTGAGCCACAGCAGTTTCCTTTCATTGTAAAATTTTTCTCTCAATATTTTACAAAATTAAATAATTTTAAAATTTTAGAATACAGTGATACCTTGAACTTATGCAATAGGTGGGACCGAGCGATAACTGCGTAAGTCAAATTTGCGTAAGTCGGGGTATAATTTCGCAATTTGTGTAAAATCCAAGTCAAATGTATGTAAGCTAATAAATGTTCTCGTTAATCTTATCTTGTCTTTTGATTTATTCACGGTTACAAGAAATCACCACATACAGTCTCTCAAGTCTCCATAGATATAAAATACACAGAAATAAATAACACAAAATAAATTGTAGCTATGCTTCAATTCCGTGCGACATGTCCGAACATGTAAGCTGAACAATAGGGTGGGGGAGTGAGTAATCAAGAGTTGCCTGGCGCTCAAACAAAAGACGATTCGACGAGATTTGAAAATCACGTAACTCCGGGTTCACATAAGTCGGGGTAGCATAAGTCGAGGTATTACTGTAATTAAAAATAAACGATCCCACAGACAATAAACGATCACAATTTCAATTTATTATAAACCAACTTTCTAAGATCAGATTCTGGTAACTCTAAAATTTTAATCCAGTATCTAAAAATGGTCAACACTAAACATATAGCCATTGGCAGATGGCCCAATTTGAATCTTAAAATGGGTCCAGGCATTGAATGATTAATAGGAAATATCAATCTGATAAATCTCAGTTGAGTCTTCTCTAATTTACCAATAAAAAATGGACCCCAAATAGGAAACATAAATTCCAAGAATAAATATCAAGGAATCGAACAATTAAAAGTATGACTTAATACAGTGGTTCTCAACCTTTTTTGTTGATGTACCCCATTAGCCCATTAGTTGTTTCTAAGTACCCCTTATATTTTGGTATGTAAATTTTATAATTACTGCATTAGATGTATACAGCCCTTACAAATGAGCGCCATAAAAAAACTAACTAACTAACTAACTATAACTAAAAATGAATTACTTATTTTACGTAAATAATAATCAATTTAATCAGGTACATACATTTATTCATTATTATTTGACAAGTATATTATATAAAATCACAGAAGTCATTTCAATACATGCATAAATTATATTTCCTAAAAATAAATCATTATAATTAACAATAAATAAAATTTAAATTATTCTACAATAATTTCTAACAAAAATTAATGGGATTATTTGTTGCAATAAATCTTCAGCAATTTTTTCAAAATTTGGTTCCCACGTTGTTAAATAGAGATTATAATTGTGTACTGACATTGAAAGTAATGGCTGCGAATTTATAATGCGCAGAACAATACATGAATCTTTCAATTTTTGTAACAAATGTAACATCTAAATTTGCTAAATATCAAGTAATGCGCGCATGCAGTGACACGTATTTCATGGTGGGGGTACGATCCAGGCCTCATTATTCCTAATACCAGTGGTCCAGTAAAAACACGAAAAGCCCCAATCTTATCGAGCAATAATTATAGAATATTTAGCATAAAGGGGGTGAAGACTCGGGACTACTCATTGGTATTGTGCGAGTATGAAGAAGAGTAGAGAAAAGGTAATTAAGGGAAGAGGCGAAGGGAAAAAGTAAAGCGAGATAGGAAAGGGGATGAAAAGTATTATTATAGAATAGAAAAAATATTTTTTTTTTATTCTAAAATTAATGCTCAGTTAAACCGTAACTTTACTAGACTACAGGTTCACTCAGCACTAACGACACAAATAGACAGGCAAATCAAATGGACAAACAAGTTGTTCAGACTGTTAAAAGGGAAATTGGTGTTCACACTGGGATATTTTAAAGCAAGTTTTTGTTGTTTCTTGTGTTAATAATTTACAGCAAATTGATTAACATACGCCATTTTATAATGAAAGTTAAATGTACCCCTTTGATTTACACTTGTACCCCTAGGGGTACATGTATCCCCTGTTGAGAACCACTGACTTAATAGAAGACTGCATCATTCTAACCATAAGCTTTATTAAATTAGAAAGTTGAAGTTTATATTTTAAAAACAATTTATCTAGGTGAAAAGAAAATGAGCCCTGTGGAGTAAAATAAATGCCCAGATATTTGTAAGATGAGACGATCTCCAACTCAAAGTTAGATAAATAAAATTTTCCCAATCTGCTCCCTCTCCAAAAAACCATTACTTTGGATTTAGCCTCATTAATAAGTAGTTTATTAGACTTACAATAATCCCGTAAAAGATTTAGCTTCCTCTGAAGATCAATAGGTGAATACAAGAATATTACAATATCATCAGCAAACAAAAGACAGTTCAATTCTACTCCAATGATATAGATATATCCATAGTATTGTGGCTATAAAAAAAATCTGGGAGATCGTTAACAAATAAAATAAATTAAACAAAATAGGACTAAGTGATTCACCTTGTGGAAGACATTTATTAGCAATTACTGCTTCTGAAAGACAACAATTAACTTCAATTTGAAAAGCAGTATCAGAAAACAATTGTCTTATAAGGTTAACAAAAGAAGAGGATATACCTATCCAAGAAAGCTTCGACCATAAAATATCATGATCTATTGTATCAAACGTCCTTGACAAATCAATAAATCCAACATATAATTTATTACGTTTCTTAGTTAAAACTAATTGCAAAATTCCAAAAAAAAGAAATAAATTATAATCAACACCTCTATTTGCTACAAAAGCACCCTGACTAATAGAAATAACATGCGACCGCTCAAGCCAGAATCGCAAACGATTAACCAATAGCGTAGAAAAAATTTTTCTAATTACACTGACTAGTGATATTGGACAATACCAGTCGACCCCCCTAAAACACTGTTGATTATTCCGTTTTATATGAATTCCATGTTGTACGAGTCACTTAAATTTTACAAATACGTGAGCCGTTCACAGCCCGGCACACGTATTTGTAAAATCTAAGTGACTCGTACAACATGGAATTCATATAAAACGNGTTGATTATTCCGTTTTATATGAATTCCATGTTGTACGAGTCACTTAAATTTTACAAATACGTGAGCCGTTCACAGCCCGGCACACGTATTTGTAAAATCTAAGTGACTCGTACAACATGGAATTCATATAAAACGGAAAAATCAACAGTGTTATAGGGGGGTCGACTGTAATTCAGAGGATCAGAATGATTACCCTTCGTATATATCATTTTTAAGCAGATATTTTTCCAAACAGTAGGGAAAGAATAATTAATTTTGAAATTATTAAATAAAAATAATAAATTGTTTATAGCATTAATTGGGAGAGGTTTAATCATCTCAGCCTTAATAGCATCTAAGCCAGGGGCTTTATTTTTTAAGGAATGCACTACAAATTGTAATTCATCAAAAGAAAAATTTTTGTCAAGTAATGGGTCCATGGTGTCTTTAGTACAAATAGACAGTACAGCCAAAGATGGTCCAGAGAAATAGATTTTCAAATAATCCGACCAATCGCAAATAGAATTGTTGTTATTCACAAATATATTAGTTCTAAATTTATTAACAATGTTCCAAAATTCAGCAGAACTTTTAATATGCGATATCTGAAAATTAATCTTATTCCAAAACAATTTCTTTTTGGCCTTACAGAGGGATTTGAAATTTTTTTCCAAATTAGAATAAATAATAAATTGTTGCCTAGATTTCGATTGTCGAAATGATCAAAGAGCCCAATTTCTCTCTTTCTTCAATTGTAAGCAATCAGCATCAAACCAAGACTTTGCAAACTTTCTTGAACAATTGTATTTGACATACATATCACTTTGAACTATGGATTCAAGAATCACATCAACAAAGGACAAATAAAAAGAAAAAGAATCCAAAAAAAAATTTGAAAAGAAATACTTTTAAAATCTGCATATCGCTTGGTAACATTATACAAATACTTGTCTAAACATGGTCTCCACATATAATGACAAATTTCAGTAGGCAATTCCTTACTAAAAAAAAGAGAATCAAACCTGAAAGTAATAGAAAGTGGGAGATGATTGGAATCAAATTTATTCAAAACCCTAAAGTCCACCATGTTATCAACTAATTCAAAGTTTGTAGGTATCAAATCAATAACTGATGCAACCAAAAAGAAAATAAATGTAAAATTCACAGGAAAATCAGTAACAAAACAACCATTTAAAAGAATCAAATTAAAAGATTTAACTAAATTTAAAAAATTTCTTTCTGCATAGTTAAAGATCATATCTTTAGACTCTCTAAGGTTATAAAAATTTAAATTAGAACCTGTATATAATGTATCTATTTCAGAAGCAATTCTAGCATTAGAATCACTGAGAATCAAAATGTCATCATTTTCTTTAAAATTAAGAATCAACCTATCAACCTATCAAGATATTCAATCAATGAATCATGTTTATTAATAGAAATATAAACCAAGATGATTAAAAGTCTAGAATGATCATTAAACAAAAGTTTACCAAATGTAATAAAATTATTGGAGAGATGACAAATTTCCAATTTACCAAGTTTCTGAGAAACTACTAAGAACAAACCACCAGATGGTCTTCCAGGTCCCTCAGGTTTGTGAGCTAAAGATTCAGTAAAATAAAACTGAGAATCTAACGTTGAAAGAAGGGTTTTCATCGAAAATGTCATCCATGATTAAGTTAAACCAATAATATGATGTGAAAAGATGAAATCAATAAAACTCTTATCAGAAAAATTTGTATACAACAAACCTTGACTATTCCAAGATAGAACCTTTAGTGCAGTATTTCTCAATGTGGGCGATATCGCCCCCATGTGGGCATTTTTCCATGTTGAGGGGTTGATTAGTAACAATTTATATTTTGGGGGGCCGAAAAACAATTTTCTAGACGATATAGTAAAACATTATGGTAAGAATAATTGAATATTTTATTCATTATATCGTACAATAATTAAATGTATGTAATCTTTGGTAAAAGTTAAATCTGGTATGACTTCATAACTCTTATTTTTGTGTATGTGTAATACTATGCCTCCATGTTGATTAAATTTTTTTCCATTCTTTCTACTTGGTAATCTTTTATTTTTGGTGGAAAATTTTCATCATTTGTCCAAGTTTCACAGAAAGCCAATACATCAAAATTACAATCATATTCTTCTGTCAATCATATCTTCGAATATAATCCATAATATAAAAATAGTTTCTTTTTTACACATTCTGAATGTGAGATAAAAAAAATTCAATAAATTATGCTCTTTACATGTTCACTGAACATTTTTTTTGTTTCAATCAAATTCAGCACACACAGTTGTGGGTGTTGGACAACCATTTAGGGAAACTCTGAATTGCACAAAGTTCTACAAAAGAAAACAATCTTTAAGTAAGAGGGAGGCTTTACATCTTTAAATGTTAAATGGAAAATTATCAGATAATTTATACATATTTAACCATCAACCAAATTAATTGGGCAGATTATCAACTGATTATTGATACATCGGGTTCTTGGGATGTTTATACACACACACATCTACTTATACAAGCCATTAATAATCCTACTGTTTGTATATCTATCACGGAATACCTAGAATGTGACTAGGGGCATCCCTAGTGATGATTTTAAGCTATTATTTAAATTAATAGTATAATTTATTTATAACAGTATATATTATTATTTTTATTTGTAATAGGAATTTNCAAATGCATATGTTATTTTATACAATATAAGTTACCTTTTTATCTTCTAGTGACATCATTTCGTTTAATTTTTCAGTGTTATTTATTATAGTGATATCAAGGTAATTTATTTTTTTGTTTTCTTCAAGTTCAATGTCAAACTGAATTTTATTATTTATACCATGGAATGACACCACTGCTGCTGCTAGAACACCCACTATAGGGTGTCCTGGGCTATCTCATGGTTACATATTATATCAAAATATTCTCAAATTATATTTACCACAATATTATCTGGATTGAAGCTTTCCACTGCATCAAGGAATTGATGTTGCACTGACTGATACTGTTTGCTGTGTTCAAATGTAAAGAAATATGTATCTCCTTTTGTTTCCAACAAATTCATTGATATACCTAAAAAATGATTTCTAGTCAATTAAATCATTATATTTATAATAATAATAAAAATGAATAGTAAATANATTTATTAAAAATTATAATTAATACATATAGCAGCAAATTTAAAATATTACCAGTATTTTCTAGGAAAAGAAAACTAAGCTCTGTAGTGTAGATTTTTCTGATTTGGCTTGAGACAAAAATACAAATATGATGCTAAGATTCTAACATTCTCTCTAAATCAGTTTAAAACCTGCAGATATGGAGGAAATGTGCATGTTCATTGTCGTAGCTGACAAAAGTGTCAAAAAGATTCAAAACACCCATAAGTGCAGTCAGAAGCCTACTCATTCCAGCAACCAGTTAAAACTCATAAGTGCAACTGCAGGAAATTAATATTTGAAAACTTTCATGTTATGCATGCATGTTTTCAAAAGTTAATTTCCTCATGACATCATGCATGTTAAATGCCCATGGTAAAGATCAAAATAAAAGTTGTCTTAAAGATCAATGTAAATTAACAGTAATCGCAAACTCAATTAGGATGTTGCATGCAACAAACTTACAACTGTCAACCCAACCATAAATTTTATGTGGAGAAATCTAAAATTGAATACACCAGACTAGAGATCAAATTTCCAGCTTAACAAAATCAACCTTGCTAATTTTTACATATTTTCAACAAATCATCTTTAATGATTGTGTGATTGCTTTGAAGTTTGATCACAGACAAAACACTTTCTGACTTATGAAAAGCTCTACTCAATAATCAGTATTTAACTTTATGAATCTAATTACAATAATAAAATAAAAATGAAATTTTATTAGTATAAAAATATAGACAACAAATCATATAACAAAAAAACCATAATCATCATTTAATCATAACAAAAAAATTGTGTAATTCGGAACAATGTTCCAATTCTGTTCCATTTATAAAACAAAAACTTAGCTGGAGAGATTTACCAAAAACAATAATTTGGATATACAGGTATCCTAGGTATAACATGATAGATATGTTCTGAAAAAGTGTGGCATTATGTGAATCTGTGCAATATGAAACAAAGGACTAATGCAAAACATAGGGTTACATTCCAGAAGTTAACAAAAGTATACCATTCTTTTTCATTACTAAGAGAAATACATTTATTAAAGCAATCAATACTTTATTTCCAATCAATAACTAATAAGCACAATCAAAAGTACTGTTAATATTAATTTTAGTTAAATGACGGCATTTTCTTTTTTCAAAAGATCATCATCATCTGAGTTTTATTGTTGATCTTGATCAGAAATATCAGCAATATCTTTATATTTTTATTTTTATCATAATTTTCTATGGATTTTTAAATGATAGTTTTTATCAGAAATTAAGATTATAATGAGCAGATATAAACAATTCAAAAAGTTATTATTCATAATAATGTTAATGCATGTTTTATAGATTTTTATCATTTAAAATATTTTTAATTATAAAATTCGTACAAAATGTCAATTTTAAAATAATTTTGTTACCTGGTTTTCCAACATGAGGCCAATTTCGAGGAGTTACTAAAACAGTAGATCGTGCATGTCCTCGCCCTCTTCCCCGTCTTTTACTTCAAAATAAAATTTTATAATTTGGTTTGTAAATTTAATTTTTTTTCAATATTTGTCAAATAAAATGAATGTTGAGCATAAATAAACTTAAAAATTAAAAACTTGCAGAAAATATTAGTAATTTGAAAGAGAAATAAAATATAATTACATCATTCACAATACATAAAACTTCAGATTAAAAATTTTATTAAATACATTACACACTGTATGACACAGTAATGTATTGTATTATTAAACATTAGACAGTTCAAAAAAATCAATATCAATCAATTATTGTTTCTACTAACAATAGTCATTGAATTTCATCAGTAGAGAATAAAAAGTTAAATGTGAAGAATCAAGCTCTGCTTTCCTTTTTTTTTTGGAGCGTCACTAAAAAATTTTTTTCTTCATCATTATTTCCCTTCTTTCTCCAGTTCCTCGAAGGACCTTTTAACTCCTCAACTATCTGTGTCACATCAATAATTGACCTTCCTTACTTTTAAAGACATTTTGAATGACTGCCAAACCTCTTCCCTTGCACTGGGGATGATTCATTTACACCTTCATTACCATTTATAAGATATCTAGCCAATTAACAAATAACTCAAAATCTTTATACAATAGAGGATAACCAAGAAGGTCACCCACAAGTGGAGTCTGAACCGAACCAACCCACCCACTTCCTACTTCCTCTGATTTTAACGATGATAAAACTGATCAGATGACACACCAAATGAACAATTACTACTAAGGTTGCACTACATATCCTAACCTTAGTCACCTCCAGCCATTAATTCTGTTAGTTTGACAACTGTTATCAAATTTATGAGTTAGAAAGAGTGACAATATTGGATAAAAAATTTATAAATCTACAGAAATGTTTATACTAATTGTCAGAAATCAAAACTTTTCCTGACCAGTCGAACTTATATGGAATTGCATCAGAATGTTCCCCAAACTTTCCCCCTTTGGAACATGTATAAAAAGGGTTGCACCCGCACCTTGGGGCGATCACCTCAGGCTAGACCTCTTCAAGTCTCTGCTCCAAACTCCTACTCCTAAAATCTTGATTGCCGTGGTTAAAAAGGTAATCTTTTTGAGACTAACTCTTGCTCTCTTGGTTATAGATTCACTTAGGCTAGTTGAACTTAGAGATGATAATATGCGTTATAGAGGCTAGATATTAGATGACTTATCGATGACCGTATATTCTTTGTCGTGATATAGAAATATTTTTGGATTATTCCCTTTTTGCAGCCTTTTGATTGTACTCGTTTGTATAGCTTTAGATAATTAAATATGTTATTCTTATATATTTGATTATGTGTCATCCTTAAGTACAACTGATACCTTGCCATGACCTTCCTCACCCTCCTATTTATTGACCGACCATCCCTGACACAGAAGCCGGTAAGAGGGGAGAAGCTCGGCACCCTAACCTGCTCAGTTCTCACAAACAAAAAACAATGATATTTTTGTTTATTGTTGAAAATATAAAGACATCTTTTAATAAGAAATTATGATAATTAACATTTACAGTCATTTACAGAACATCTAACAGCTATAACACAATGAAACTAAGTAGAACTCTCTTCGAAACTGGTAAAAGAAATTTCCGTAGAAAACAATGTCTCAAAAATTACTACCAGAAGGAATTTGATGTTTTAAGCAGAGAAAAGCATAACATTTGCACAACTTGTACAATACAACACAACTTTTACTGAAATTAAAGAGCAAAATAAAGGATGCAAAATAATTCATAACATACTTTCAGGCAGTAAAAGCATGATGACACTCATTTCATCTGAGTATTTTTTCCCTTGTGTTTTAAGAATTTTGTTCATATAACCATTGCGAAAAGTTCCACTGATGCCATGTACTCTCATAATAATAATTACCAATTTTTGTACAAATTAAAGACAAAGTCGCTCTAAAAATTATTTCAGACGATCACCATTTTTATTTAGTGTTCTAGAACAAATCATAGACAGCTGGACCTTTCTTTTTAGGCTACACAACTGCCCACATTTAAAAATGTTCCTTAAAAACACAAGAAACCAATAAAGATTAAAAGAATTCTTTAAAATTGGAATGGTAAATCTTACGACGTCTTGTTAGTTCATCCTTGTCCGTTTGGGTTTCTGGCTCCTTTTATCTACTGAGGATTAGCGCTGACAAATGTAGATTACGTCAAGATAGCATTCTGGTGACAAATTTTAACGATATATTTGAATTTCCTTCAGATGAATTATTATTTTTGTACAAATTAAAGACAAAGTTGCTCTAAATATTTAAATGTGGGCAGTTATGTAGCCTAAAAAGGAAGGTCCAGCTGTCTATGATTTGTTATAGAACACTAAATAAAAATGGTGATCGTCTGAAATAATTTTTATAGCGACTTTGTTTTTAATTTGTACAAAAATAATTATTCATCTGACGTAAATTCAAATAATTACCAAATTAAGAAAGAAACTAGATGTTCAGAAGTGATAACAGAAAAGGAAGAGTATGCACATCAATTTATCCATAACCAACGAAAATATTCAACTCCTATCAAGAAGCAAACAAAACAATGAATAACTCAGTCAGTTTCAGCAGTTTACATATGTTATAAAATCAGTAGGATATACTCTATATAAACATAAAAATGTTGTGTGTAAATTTATGTATTTTTATCTTAAAATAAAATCAATAAATAAATTAACTTAAAATTGAAAATTATGGAAATTAAATATAAAAATTACCTTTGTTCATTTTGAATGACTTTGGAACCAAATATTTTTTTCATTTCATTATCAGGATTTAAATTTCTGTGATCAACATTAAGAAGTTTTTGTAAAAATGGTGATTGTTCCAAAGGTGAAGCTGAAGCAGAATTGCTGACAGCAATATTTTCTGGTTCACCAAGTATTTTATTAACTTCTCTAACACTTGCTTCAACTTCATCTTCCTATAAAAAAAATTTATGTATTGCATTTCAGCAATACATAAATTTATAATGTCAATAAATATTGTAGTATAAAAATTTTGAAAAAATATATGAAAATTTAAATACCATAGAAGCAGAAACAATTTGCAATTTATCAAAATAATTTTTTAAATACTTCTCCAAATTATAAAGAAGTAATAGATTTAGAACTTGAGTTGTTGAACTCACAATGATTTATTATTAAATATTCTGGGATTCTGCAACCAATATTTAGCAAGTTCTGCAAGGAAAACAAAAAATATGAGGTCTGTTCAAAAAATAACCAAACTTTTTGAATTAGGCATAAATGGAGTGTCCTAGTGTTGTGAAGTTGACAACAGTATGTTTGTGATAACCTACCGAATAAGCTGCTTTTTTTGGATTGTTGATATCTCATTTTGTTCCCGCATTTTTCTTTTTTGAATGAAAGGTGTTTCAGTGTTCATGGCGATTTTTACAATATGCAATTTATGAGAGCAATGTGAAGTTTGCAGGAAAATCTTTTACAGAAACATTTCAACTTTTGAATCAAGCTTATGGAGGCGATGCTCTAGGTCGTATGCAATGTTACAAATGGCTTACTTGATTCGAAAGTGGTTGTCAATTAGTTGAAGATGATCTCAACCAGGAAAGCCTTTGACCTCAAATGATGACACTCACATTCAGAAAATCAGAGTTGTGCACTTTGAATATTTTTGTCTCAAGTTCAAACAGTCAACCGTCAGTACTACGCAGATGTTTTCAAACAGTTGCATGAAAAAATTTGCAAAAAGAGACCAGAGTTGTGGCGAGACAATTCACAGTTCTTCACCATGACAACATGCCTGCTCACTCAGCCTTGTCAATTTGCCAGCATTGTACCAGAAGTCAAATGACTGTCCTCCCCAACCTCCCTACTCATCAGACCTGTCTCCTTGCGATTTTTTCTTGTTTCCAAAATTAAAATCAGTGCTGAAAGGATGCCATTTTGACACAATTGATGACATTAAAACAAATTTTTCACAAGCATCGAAGGATTATCCGAAACAAGCTTACCGGAGCTGTTTTGCAAAGTGGAAACGCAGCAGGAATGAGTGTATAAATAATGGGGGAGTACTTTGAAGGGGAAAGGACCAATAATCTGTAACTTGAAAAATAAAAATTAAAAAAATAAAGTTCAGTTATGTTTTGAACAGACCTCATATACAACAATATATCTACATTAAATTATATAGCTTGCCAAAATAATTCATAAATTGCAAATTATTGAAAAGTCACCTTTTTATTGTTATTAAACAATCTTATAAAAACAAATCAATTTATGAAGTAACTTAATATGTTTGGACTATAATAAGAATGATTAAATTAATGAATTTGATCTAGAGGTAGATAGTTTGCCATCATCTTGTAATAAGATTAGTGATTAGAAATTAATTTCTTTATTTAGAAAATCTGTAAAATGAACTCAGAGTGGAACTAAAATAAGCAACACATGCTTTCTGGAAAAAGTAATCGATAACACAGCTATATAGTAAGCACCTGTTGCAGATTTCAATTTTACTTTGGTTCAATCTTTTCTTCCAGAATTTCTAAATTAATTGATAATTATAAATTAATTAAATGCCTTCAAGAATACACTATATTGTTCTTACTAAATTTACTAATTTAATTATTATTATGATTATAGCCCAAAAATAACTTCTAACATTTTGAATCAAGTTTTTCGTTTCTGTTCTTAGATATGTATTTCCTTGTAAAATTGTTGAGGATAAAACTGCAGAATTTCAAAAACATTCAGAAGAAATAAAGTATTTTAGTGTGATTCAAGTTATAAATCTATTATTCTTTACAAGCTCAAAACATGCTGCAATATTTTTGAATCAAAAGGTGAGTATTGTTAAAAGTTGCATATGCAATTTGCTGTCACATGCAAAAATTATAAGATATTATGTACTCTACAACTTACATTACACATCTGAGTAAAAACCTGTTATTTACATCTTGGCATTGCAGTTCCACAGCCATATTTCTTGTGGCAGTACACATTAGAGTCAAAACCAATTAAAAGAACAAAAAGCAGCAACAATTATTTTAATGTTTTTAATTAATAAGAAAAATGAAGAGGATACAGCAATAGTTTGTTTTCATTTTGTATTGAACAAAGGATGGCATCACACAGTATCAGTTAATACTAGATTATCATTTGCTGATTTTGTTGCGACTGCATGCAACCATAGTCAAATGCAATCCTCCTAACAGAAACTACAGGGAAAACTCTGAAGCACGACCGCATCAAAAATTGCAATGTACGATGCTTTGATAAAGTTGCAGTGTTCAGCAGAGGTTAGAACTTAACAAAGGGAGGAATCAGAATTCTTTGGAAATAAAACATTTTAATTCAAACTGTAAGTATTTATGCCAGACAAATGCATATGTTATTTTATACAATATAAGTTAAAAAATGTATAGTAACAAACACTAGCACATTAGTATTAAGTATAAGCTTTCTGAGCATGACAAAATTATTATTAATCTTATGAAAATAACTATAAATTTTTTATTCCTTTCTAAAACACAATATTTAATTCAGATGAAAATAAAGAGAATCTATACTTTTATAATAATAATTGTTCTTAGAAAGTTTACTGTTCAACATTAATTCATCTTTGAATTTTCTAATATTTTCTAATTAAACTAAATTATTTTAAATTAATGACTTCTCTGAAAAATAAATTTAACTTTACAGAAAGAAATTCTTGAAATTTTTGAAAAAAATAGCAGGTTTATTTTAATTCATGGAAATTTCATTATTTTTTCCCTTTAATTTCTTCAATAGTAAATATAAAAAAAAATTCTATTTTAATTTTAGACGATAATATACTTTTGAAAGTCATCAAAACACATGTTTTGTAATGTAATTGTATTTTAAAAAATAATTGCAATAAAAATTTCATAATTTATAGAAATATTATAAAAAGTATAAAATTAACTTACAGCATCATCAAGATTATCTTCTGTACTTCTCTGACTCTTTATTTTTTTCTTCTTCTTCTTTTTCTTTCGTTTTAGACTATCTGTGCTATGAATTGAATCTTGCTTTTCTAATTTATTTTTATCTTGCTCCTGCGAAACTTCATTTTCTCTATCATCATCTTCTTTAGCTTCTGTATCAGATAATGAATGCTCCACACTATTTAACTAGATAATTTAGATGGAAAATAGAAACAGATGAAATAGAAATTTTACTTTAATGTAAATAGTTAACAAAACATCTGCAATTTAATTCTAAACTTATTAAAATTTTAATAAAATATTACAGTTTTTATATACAGAAAATCACAGAAAATTAACACAGAACCTTATTACAGAAAATCAATTATTATATATTGAAATAATGGAAATATGAAGCAGTTAAAATATTTCTGATTCTAAAAGTAATTCTTAAATCATCATCAAAAGTATTATGGTATTTAAATTATTTTTATATCTCAATAAGTTAAAAAAGCAAGTTCATTACTTATTTAAAAAAATGATTCTAGTTAATACAACATTTAAAATATATGAAGTTCAGAATAATTGAAAAGTCACTTTGTAATAGAAAAATATTTTAAAAATAAATATACATTCATTGTTAATTATCATTTTAATTATAATGTAAGTACAGAAGTTATTTTAATATTTCTAAGGATAAATCTTTATTAAAAAAAATTATTTCTCATTATGTTTATATTTATAATTGAGTTTTAAAACTTGGAGTTTACAGGTTCAGTTAAACATTTGTTTCAGGAAGTTTAATATAAAATTTCTACATTATAACTATATTTAGAATTTAAGGGAAAAAATTTATAGATATGAATAAATATGAATAAATAAAATATGTAATGGAAAATAAGTTGCAAGTAATTTCTGATTCAATGTTAAAATACTATTAAAATTAATGAGAAATTTGTGCAGGTATAGAAATATAAGCTATCAGATCTCATACTTGAAGAAAAAGTTTTATACATAAATTCAGTTATACAATTCTCATATAAAGTCATTGCTATGCACAGACAAACTGTTAATTATCAAACAGTATGTATTATGGATGGTTTCAGTTTTATATATTTGTTCAACACATAAGACATTTCAGACATGTTACATCTTACTCTCTAGAAAAAAATTTACAAATTCTCAAAAATTGGCTCGCTAAATAAATACAATTTTTAAACAAAAGAATACTGTGTATAATATCCAGATACTTCTTTTGAGAAGCATCTAACTCAACAGTGTGATGCAGAAATTCATAAACAATCAAAGAATAAAACCTCAGTTTATATAGAATTAAATTTTAATGAAATATTGCAGGACATGTCTAAGAATAAAATAAGTTAAAAGCCAATAATAGTAAATATTTTTATCACTTACATGAAATACACATCTATATAAATCTGAGTTTTATTTCACTAGTAACTTGTATTTAATATATTGCAATGTCAAAGCTGTTTTGCTTAATAATAATATTAAACAAAATGAAAATAGTTTTACTTAAGATTTTAACTGAAAATTAACATATGCTTGGAATAGATGTCATTTTCTTAATTAAATAATTGCAACATAAAAATCAATACTTTTGCCAAAACTAACAAAGGCTTTCTCAGCATACTTTGTTTAGGCAAAAGCACTTTGTGTTTTTATTATAAAATTTTCTGTGTTTATGACTAAAAATATTGATTGGTTAAAGTCAATACTTTTTTAATGGCAAATTTACATATAAAGTATGGAAAAATTTAGTTTATTATACAACAAGCAGAAGATCTAGATGACTGGAACTGTATTTTTCCAATGGATCCAGAACATACTAAAGCAAATGAAGCTCAATAAGAGAAAGTCAGCACTTCATGTGGACAATAGTGTAGCTCATAATCATCTCCCATTTTTGAAGAATGGAGAACTGTGGAGAATCTATTTTTCAGCAAATTGAACCTCTGTTCTGTAACCTTTGGATATGAAAATTATTAAATGTCACATAAGATATTACAGAACCAGACTTGTCAAGTTGATAATACTTAATATAAAGAATAAGATTTTCCATCCCACGTCAAGCAAACATATGAGATAATCACTATCAATAGTCATCAGTGAAGTCAGAGAGAAGCTGGTTTCCTACCAATTGAAACAGGGAAAAATAAACTCCAGCTTGGCTGGAGAGTGCATCAACTCTTTGGCAGTAGTACTTTCAACCTATGCTTTAGTCCTCTTGTCGTTTTGCACAAGAGATGATAGCCTGTGCCTTTCTGACAGTTTGTTGTTTCCCCATTTGTAAGTGTCAAAGGTGTTTGTGTCACCTTTGACACTTACAAATTTATGAGTGCAAAGAGCCCAAGCCTTGTTGTTTTGGAGATGTTAACATCAAAGCATCTGATGATCACAATTTGGACTTTGTTCAAGTCAGATAAGTCTGCCAATCTACCCACTTGTACACTGTAATGACAATTGTTTGTGCAGCTTTGTTGTTAGCTGTTATAACCCATTTAATGACTTTGACACATGTTTGCATAAATGGTTGTATTGATAAGGTGGTCATAATGTTTTAGGTGGATGATGTAATATTAGGTAATTTTCATATTTGAATTTTTTACTTCATTCTAAAAATAAAATAGAAGAGAAAATTGTACAAACAAAATTAATTATGAAACTTTTATAATCTATTTGTTATAGTTTTCTAAAGAGCATAACTTGTTATATCTGGTATATAATAAATTATCTTGTTATATATTCATTTTCATCATTATTTTCTTACATATGGAAACAGTACACTGTCTTGTAGGATAATTACAAAGTTCTAGATTTACTAGATCTCTATTGGGTTAATAAAATATTATGATAAATCAAAATAGAAAAGTTCTAAATCAAATAATTTTAAATCCACTTACAAAGTTCTCATAATCTTTCAACTTGGATATATTTATAATATAATTTTACAGCGATCATACATAAGAAGTCACTGAAAAAACTAAGTTCACACATTTCCAAAAAATAATTCTTTATAAAATGAGTATTATTAAATTTTCCAAAAGCCTAACATACTGATATATTTTTTCATGCATATTAAAATATTTTAAAATACAGTGTGTGATCGGTTAATGAACAGTTCAGACAGCAAACAAATCAGATAACAAACACTTTCATGAACAATTTTTATGTCTGGACAACGAACACATGTTCAGATAACAAACATTTCACAGAACAAACACAAAAAGAAGCAACATAAGATAATGAATACCAACTGGTTTTCCCTTGTCTCCAGGTAACAATTCGAAGTCTTTCAGACCGCGGAATACACTCAACCCGATACCAATCAGATATTATTCCTCCAAACTTTGAAACTCTCCATTGTAATTCCACCTTTTTGTTTACCTTTCTGACAAATAATTTTTTATAGTCTTTGTGAGACTGTTAGGCACTTGTTAAGTTTTGTGTTGGTTTTCATTTTTTAAAGATGAGAGTTTAACTGTCCTATCAGATATTTGTTAATGGCTTAACACCAAAATTTGAATTTCATCTGGCCTCACATTTACATAATTATTTCAAGTGCTAGTTGATTTCTGTTCACTGAATTTTTGTGAGTGCTTTTCTGAACGTTTTATTTCAAAAAGACATTAATATTATTATGAAGCCTAAAAAGAGTGGAGTGTCAAAAACAGAAACTAAGCAAGAGATAATAGCCAAGGTAGAGAGTGGGCGGATGTCTGATGGTGCTAAGCAGTATGGCTCAAACAGGTCTATAGCAGGCACAATCTTAGCTAAGAAAGATATAATCAAGAAGACACGAGTAGCTAAAGGAGTAACAAAAATCACATCCGAGAAACAAAGATGTGCCGTCTATGAAAAAATGGAGAGACTGCTTTGCTTCTTATTACATGTAAATAAACATAGTAAGAAAGTATATAATTTTTTATTTATTTTTTTGGGGTTTCCAGAACAAATTAATCAAATTCCCATAAAAATCTATAGAAAATCGATAGGCCTAATTGGTTAATGAACAATTCGGATAGCGAACAAACTCTTGGAATGGATTATGTTCATTAACCAATCACCCACTGTATAATTTTAATTTAAATACATTTTATTTAAAACACATTTAAAATTAAAAATATTAATTATCATTTCATGAAAAAAATCTCATGACTATTCAATAGATATGATAACATTGAAAAATTTAAAATAAATTTTTACAATTAACTTTTATTAATCTAGATTTGATTAACATTACATTGTCTTTAGACTATTATTTAAAAGTTTTATATTTAAGGCAAATTCCCTTAAAACATGTTATTTGAAATTAAGATGCAGGAACATTTATTAGCATCATGATCTCTGTCTTCCATAATAAGAACAGAGTCCACTGACTGACAACATACAGTTGACCATTATTTATAAAATTTTTAAGTCAAAAATGAGAATTATCAAAAAATAGCTTACTGGATAATCTATTGGGCCTTAATAATTTTGTTAATATTATTTTTAAATCAATGTCAAGATTACAATTAACTATATTTTAAAATAAACAATAATTTATTGTACAAAAGGAAATTATTACTTATAAAACATTTTTCAGATCTCCATATGAAAAAATAGCATAATAGAAAGAACATTGTATAATAAAAATAGGTGAAATTGAAATTATTTTTATCTCAAAGCATAAGGAGAGGGTCACCTATATTTGCCAGTGATGGCAAATATGTGACGATTTCAAAGTATTCACACAATGAAAGTATTATATTTGTAAATTATAAAAAGTATTTGATAGATTTCAAAATTTTGTGTATATAGTGTGTCAGAGTCCTAAAACTAGTGTTGCCACCTTTTCAAAATTGATGACCCAGACATTTATTTTTTTCCACTTTTTCTTCGCTATGGACATTACGAGGGTCTCATTTTAGCAAAGCCCATTATGAGTTTGGCGAGGTCCACAATGGGACGGCTGAGTGATGACAGACAGGACATTTTAAAATTAAGATGTTATACTTAGAAATAAAAAAATTAGGTTTTTTTATTGAGAGTAGAAAATAAATATTTTTTAATAGAAGGTAAACATGTAAATGATATATTATTAAAGTAATACAATAATCACATGTGGCATATCCAAAAATAATTAATAACAGTCCAATGTCAATATTAATTGCAAAAATAATAGATAAAAGTAAGAATAATAA